CTCTCTCTCTCTCTCTCTCTCTCTCTCTCTCTCTCTCTCTCTCTCTCGCTCTCTGCCCTCCCACCTTCTCTGCCCTCCCACCTTCTCTTTCTCTATCTTACCTTGTGAAAGCTGACAAAGTCCTCCTGCCTACGAGTTTCCACGATTAGCTCATTGTTAACTGCATCTGCAGGGTGAAAAACATCAATTTAGCCTGATCTAACCTCGCAGTCCCTCTGACCGGCTATACGGACCACTTTCTACTTAACGCTGACCTCGGCAAAAATAGAAAGAATCGGGTGATTTAGTGGCTCGTTTGTCTGTTATGTTTACCAAATTGACACAGCGTCCCGAGTTAAACTCTATCTTTTGTTTCTGTCTCAATTTAAAACATATAAATAAGTACAACAGCCAGCTCTGACTGAAATGATTCGTCTTACATGTGTACTTAATATTTACAGCTAACCATTTTGCAAACCATGCTGAAGGGTTTAAGGAATTTCAGTCGATCTATTTCTCTTACTCCAGACATCCGTTGGCTTCTTTACATTTCAATAGAGCATGAATACCCATTAACAGACTCTTGAATCGTGCTTAAATTGCGTAATCCATCACAGTGAACATCAAGCGTTACTGTTTTTTGTCAAAGTATCATTATTGTTATGGAGAATCAATCTGCGATAAAATGTCATTACAGGGCGATCATAATCTAACTTTGACAAAAGAATGAACACAGACTTTATGTTAAATGTGATGAATTACACAACTCGTGCAACTTTTAAGAACAGACGTAAACATACTGAAAAGGTTTTTTAAAGTGACTGGAGCGATATTTAATCATTTATAACATGTATTGACCTCTATCAGAGATCTTTGAAAGTGCAAACTGTCAAATTTGTCTTTTCGAAAGAAGAAGTAAAAAAAACCAGAAGCCCCAGCAGAAAACCTGTGCAGTAATTAAAGTTGTTGTTATTGTGTTATTGCCCCAGCTGAACTATTTGTACGCTCAGATGTTCTTCTGTCAACCCTCTCATTGTGATTCCACAGTTGCAGTAGAGTCGTACAGTTATCATGGTGAACTGTGTGTCGCTCTCTCACCTGTGGGGCCCTCGCTCGAATATCCCAGGTTCACCTTCCCTCCCGTCTGCTCAGCAACCGAGCGTCTCCCGCTCACCGATTGGTCGGACCTGCAAATGCCCAAATGAATGTCCAATGGAAAAAGATAACCTTTAGAGAGGCTGTGCAGTTGTGAACAGACACTCTTTCCTTTCTCACAAAGCTGCAGTATATATCAGGGGCCTCTGCATTGTTTTCATCATAAAATGCTTTGACAGATTAAACAATGAGCGTCATCATCTTTCAGTGCATTTTATGAGACCTCGCCGACGTGCTCCACTCTCACTGCAATGTGCTCAATGGGGAAGTTATAACATGTGTTTCAGCCGCATGGAAGATCCTGACAACAGTAATGCTTCTTAAATGAGCTAACAACAATTTAAATCTTAATTAAGTTGTTGCAAAATGTAATGACTATTTAATGCATCTAATTCATGTCTCCAATTTTCTTTTATAATGAGAAACAATAAAAGCCCATTCATTCTCAGAAATAAGTTGCCTGTATTAATAGAGATTGCTGAGTCTTCATATTAGTATAAATGGAGCTCAATACAGCCGGGACTCCTTCACAGATTATTGGCAGCTACTTTCTCCTCAAGTCAATCACTTTCACATTATCTTAAAGTTGTGTTTGTTGGTTTGGAAAGTGGAGAAAATCCAAGGTTTTCATTGTTTGAAAATAGCCTCATAAAGCAAAAGGTGTCGAGAAAAAAATAGCTCTTAAATCTTACCTTATTGCCTCCTGTGGGCTCGGTTCTGAAAGAGAATGAGTCATTATGTTTACAGAATTATTATGAGCTGTCAGCCAATAACTGTATTATTCTCACTGCCTTGACCACAGAACCATTGTGCTTGCTCACCACAACAGTGTGAAAGCTGTAAATGTCCCGTTGTTTATTAGCTCTGGATTCCGCACTAATATCATAGTCTCCAGTCAGTTTGCTGTTCAATGGTGAAAGCTGGAGCTGAGTGTTAATGAGTTTTGTAATATCGCTTCATGGTTGTCTTTGCCAAAGGTCCTCCTGGCCACGGCGAAAACACAACAATATAACAGTGGTGCAGATGGCGCTTGCCTCAGGAGACGTATAAACTGCTCCTTTATACAGGGAAAGAAATTGCCTTCGTCATTATATTTTAAATCCCTGCTGTCACGCTGGCCAAAGTCTTTGAGGGTGACTACATTAGATCCCTTCTATTTTCCCCCAAATTACAAAGCATACATTACTCCCCATTGAGGTGGATTACTCAAAGAAGAATTTAGTGGCTTGGAGCCATGCCACATCCTCACGAAGTTAATTCAACTTATTTTGCTCCATAGAAGCCGTGAAGACGACGGCAAAGACGGTACCATGCGTTTCAGGTACAGAATCGGCTGCCGGAGGAGAAAGGTCACACCTGCTTCGTGATAATCCCTTAGCTCTAAACCATAGCCGTGATTTGCAACAGTTCACAATCAGTCAGGGGGATTACGCTGACTTCTAAATGAGTGACTTAGGGCCTCTTTTTGTTATCGCGCACAAACAGGCCTCCTCCGGCTCCGCGTGCTATAGAACAACGATCCCCTCGGCGATGGCACTCCAGAAGCATCTCTGCAACATCCCTCTTTCCCGGCCAGACTTTTTACAACATCACACCACTTTACCTCCACCAACTTGCCAAGGCATCGACGTCTCTGAGGTGACACAGATTCTAGGCCGGGGTTTTGAGCTCTAAAAGAGTTGCAGTGAAACCGTCTCACTGTGTGGGGGTTTAAAACCCTTATTACTGAGCCATGCAATTCAGTAATATCTTAGTCACCTTTAGACTTTACAAACAAACAAAAAAATCAACATGTTTTGTCCTCAAGGAGTAGTTCAACATTTTGGAAATTATGTTCAGGGGCTTTTTTGCAGAGAGTTAAATGAGAAGAGTAATGCCACTCTAGCAATTATTTAGCTTAGCTTAGCAGTTAGCCTGGTTTTATCTGAAGGAAACAAGATACGCCTAATGCCCCTTAAGCTTACTGACTAACATTTATTGTTTAATCGGTACAAAAACCCCAGCGTAAAAAAGGACAAATGAGTTACAATATGTTAAATAGTGAGTTTTGGAGGTGCTAGTATTCTAAACCACATTTCCCACTGGACAAAAAAAACACTAACGCCTCCTAACATCTGGCTTTTGTCTTTAGCGGGAAAGGTTTCAATCTGTATTCATTCCCGGGATAAATGACTCTACAGTAATCGCAGGTATTCATCAGGTCCAGCTCAGATCGACAGTGATGGAAACATGACACCTGGGAGGATACGCAAATTTTCACCCCTTTTCCGGCTCAATGCTTTTCGCCCCCGTCGGAAACTTTCGCGACTCTTTTTCATCTCAGCCACAAAATTCCGTAACTGTTTGGGGTCCTTTTCATTTGGGGCCCGGGTTGTCTACCTCGCCTGATATTGAATTCTGCCCCTGGTGTTTTTTCCTGAACCAGAGTGTATTTCACTGGTGTTTCTGACCGCGAGTAGCTGCGACTTGGGTGTGTGACTCAACTACGTCATGGCAGGAGTATTGCCGAGGCATTCGGTCCGTTTCTGAACGGGCATGTTTTGAACAGGCGCCTCACTAGCTTATTTAACTCTATAGAACAAGCTGTGTCCAAAAGCTTCATGTCAAACATACTGACTCATTTGGCAGGAACTAGGTGTGAGTCAGGACCTTATGTTCCCCAAGGTACGATCTCTGCCAGTGTACCAACAGCCGTAATCCTCTTCACACGCAGGTTGATAGCTTGTCCAGAGTCGCAACATTAAACAACTGTCAACTCATCTGCATGTCTCAACTGACAGGGTTATGATATAAACCCAGGACTGGAACATGGTCCCTTTATTTATCCAAGGGAGACTCAATGCAGTTACCTATTTTTTTTTTGTCACCTATTTTCCTGCAACATCCTGTAACACGTTCATTAAATCATGCGCCACTAGAGTAAAGAATACCAGTCCATTAAAGGGGAAATACTGTTTCCTGGCTGGTGTTTGATAGAAGAAATTATTGAAAGTGCAACAGCACAAAGTTGAAACTTGATGATTATAATTCCTCCACGCCGGTGACAGCCGTGACCGGAGGCGTTATGTTTTTGGGTTGTCCATCTAGTTGTACGTCCGTCCTATTTGTGCAAATGCAAAATCTCCGGAAAGTCTTGAGGGAAGGTGTTACGTTACGTCTAACAGACGTTAGAATTTGGTGGTCAAAGGCTACTGTTGGCACATAAAACACTTTTCAGTCATAATTCAAGAATTCATATGCCAATTATGAAAATTTCCACACACTGGCTTAAAATTATGAAGTGATGACATTTTGGACAGACGCAGATGTAAAGTGCAAATTCTAGTTTTATCCCCAAAGAAGAGGAGGACAGATATGTACGTTAAAGCAGAAAGAAACATGCTACTTAATTTCAGTTGGACTCGGTAAAGTGACTGTAATTGGGGCGACAGATGTATCTTCGCAATGTTTAGCTGGTGAAACGTCTCGCTCAGGCTCACCCCTGCAGTGTTTATTCAGGGTGAGCATTAATAGTCCTTCCTCCTGACGATTTGTCCCAGTTTTTCTGGGATTTACACCTCCAACCCTGCAGTCATACAGTCCACATACTTATCTAACATTCCTGCTGTTGCTGTCTTCTGAGAAGAAAAGCTTTTTGCGCTGACAACTAATGTTCTGCCTTTGTCACAAAATATAAGCCGTGTCCTTGGTGAAGGCCAGCGTGGGGCAGTACCGAGTCACAGCGTGCAACCGCCCATCTTCTCCATTATCCTTTAATCACAGTTTCTGGACTGGAAAAGTGTAGGGGGAGGTGACGTTTTTTTTTCTTCTCACCTAAAGCAATTCAAGAAAGAGAAAAGTGCATACTTGCTTGTCTCCTTCGCCTGTGCCAGAGGACGGTGCAGATGCAGAGCAGGAGGAGCAGCAGAAGAGCAGAGAGGGAGGCCGTGAGTGCCAGAGGGAGCGTGCAGTCAACTTCCTCCTGCAGCACCTCTGCAACTGAGGAGAAAAAGGTCACATCGGTGTTTCACTAAAGAAGCGCCGAAGCGGTGTTGTTACCTTGCAATTCAATTACAGATTTGCAGACACAGTGTAACGAACGCTGTGTTCAATCTCCTGTTTTAATATGCGGTGGGGGAAGCTGCTCTTCGTGGATTTTAAGAAAATGTTACAACTACAAATGGAATATTACTAAGATAATGATGTAGTATTTGTATTCTGGGCCTTAGAGAGGTTTGCTCTTGTGATGCAAACTCATGCAGTGTTGATCTGGCGGCTCTTTTCTCTTTCCCCTCTCCCCTTCAATATTAATGCCCAGTGATGATTCACAGGCGTCCCAAAAAGAGAAAGGAACAGGGGGAAAAAAAGAGGACAAAGAGAGAGAAGGAATGTAAAGACAGAGAACTACACTAGGACAGAACAAAGCGCGACGGCGGCGTCCTCTCACCCACTGTCGACGCTGCTCTTCAGTGGTGTGAGGAGGGCAGACACGAAGGCCAGACAAGCCACATGAGAGCTCTTCACTGCCGTAACGCTGAGGTTGCTGGTTACAGTGAAGAGGCTCTTCCCTGACTCTTCACTGCTGGTGTTGTATTCATCCTGGTTCACCTCCACGCCAATCCCCAGAGAAAGAGATAATTAGTTTTGCAGTTATTATGTAAATAATCAAAACAGAGCTGTATTTAAAGAAACAGTACAGATGTTAAAGTATTTTTTTTTCTCATCTTGTGATGCAGCCGACGCTGTGACCATGTCTGTTTTCAAACGCCTAACTCTTTGGAGATGACGGATCTGTTTTAGATTTGTTCAGCCAGTAAAACGCTCTATTCAGTGGCAGATCAGTGCGACTGTAGTTCACATTAACACCAATATGTAATGAAGCTCATTTGGTTTATGGTACTTAGCACCAAAAAATGTAACTTGAGACAATTATCGTTCCAGATACGATGACAGGATAATCTGTAGACTTTGTTGGACCCTTTTTAAAAGCAGTGCAGTTGTCACTCTGACAAACTGACACTCTGACAATGATCTGGAAGAGTTTTTAAGTTACTTTCTCCCAAAAGAAAGCCTAAAAATAATAATTCACCTGCAAATACACCTCCTCTGCAGAGCCACTCCATTAGAGACTCTACTGATTTTGAATGGATACTTGTGGTTTTGAGCTCAAATGATTACAAAGAGGTCTGTGAATTTTGTCAGAAACAAAAAATCCCTTCTTTGCCTATTGTATTGCCATAAACCAAAATGAGTGCATTATACTGTATTGGGATTACACCTGATAAAACAGTTTTTTCTTGTGTTTTGAGTGCCCAGTCACTTCATTCCTCTATGTGTGTGTGTCTAAATGAAGAGTTGCAACGCTACACCTTGAGCTTGATGAGTGTTTTGTAATATAAAATCCTTTCGTCATTTCTAAATATTACGGTAGTGAGAAGGTTGTATGCACTTACCTTTTTGTCATTCACTTGCCATTGCAAAGTGGGTGGAGGGTACCATCCGGCTGCTTGGCATTCAAACGGGACCGACTGACCCTTAAAAGCCAACTTGTCTTCCCCAACGACTTTCACGCTGCCTTTTTCTGCAATCACAATCACAAACCTATTTCTTCTTCTTCTTATTCATGTAGCCTACTTATGTATATTCCTGTACATGCATGAGTGTGAGTAAGTTTATGAATATCAACGCCGGGCAGGAATCCATGAATCTCTGTTGAAATGCAGGTTTTTGCATCCACGCATCTGCACCCAAAGGTGAACATCACCTCTCCAGTTCTCCCGCTCATATACAAAAGACGGATTTTATTCGTCCCGGGCGAATGATCGCGTGTCTCAAAGTCTCAATTGCCTGACGGATCCATCTCCTCTTTTCCCCTTCATCTCCTTCCCTGCCAGCCAAATAAGCCACTTAAGGCCCTGGGAGATATACAGTATCTCATACGTGAAGTCCATTGTCTGGCAGAATGAAAGGCGGCGAATGCAACAGACGATTGCCACAGACAGAAAGATAATTACAGAAGCTTCGATGCTTTGTGTATGCGAATGGCACGTCTGTGTTGATTTAAATTCAAATCCTCAGCTGGTTTGGTACGCATTATTGGCTCTCCCTTTTCCCCTGGGGCTTTCATTTGATGCCTGATTTTGTGTCATAAACATCGTACCGTCCCATTCTCAAAGAGCGGACTCCGGCTGCTCTTTCAGAATCTCTGCGCCGTTGAATAAAGGTTGGCGAGGAACCAGCAGCCTCATTTGCACTGACTGATGAGGGGCTCCGGGTGATCACGGCAGGTTGATACATCTGAATAGAGAAAGGGACGATATCAGCACTCTCTCCCAAAGCTCCAATTTAAGTGATCCCTGAAATAAGGTGTCATAAGGTTGATTAATCACTGTAGGGGAACTCTGAAGACGTTGTGTGAGGCAGGGAGCCGTCAGCTAACTCTAATTCCAGTGATTTTTCAGCAGGGGTCCTCAGAGGGTAAATTACTGAGGGCAGCATTTAAACACTTGTACATGTCTGCCTGCGGGATTGCTGTGTATGCGCATGAATTTTGTCTTACATTAAAAAAAAAAAAATCATGTATGTGTGGGTGTGACTTTATTCCAATGAGGACGGCGCTTCTACTCTTCTACTGTTCACTCTCCTCCTCTGATCTACATAGAAGACTTTTCTGCAGCTCTAGCCTTCACTGCAGACGCTTTCTTACTCAACAGTGCATGCAACTGTATTGATTTGCTCAAGTGAGAGGCGTGTGTGTGTGTGTAAGCAGAGAAGGAGCAGCGAGAGGAAGCAGGAGTGTGTTGTCATATTTACATCATCTTCATGCTGGACAATTAAAGCGGGGCGAGGGGGGGGGGGGGGGGGGGGGGGGTTGTGGATGATAGCATACAGAGTCGTCCAGGCCGCGGTGGATTTGTGGCTCCTGTCCAACAGTATATTTGAAGCTGCAGTACACAAATCACGGGCAGAGTTGCTGACTGTTAACTGGGCGTGCCAGGATGCACAATTAATTCAAAGGCTGTGTCGGGCCATAGTGATCCTCTGCATCCAGACCAGAGGGTCTGATTCACCATGCACTACTGTTAATGGCTGCATGTGTCAGTGGGGGTTTGTAGTACTGGCAGCAATGGAGGCTCTCTCCGTAATATATCGGAGGCAATGGGTCATTGGTTTTGTATCCTCTCGCCTGTTTACAGAGAGGATGTTTCCACGCTGATTTTTTATTTTTTTAGCTGAGTTCTCAGTTCAGTTTGTGCGTACTGCAGATGCAAATAAGCTGAATGATAAGGTCAAGAGAAACGCAGGTCCAAGCAGGTCTTGAGGCTTTGTATTCCGTAATAAGTTGTCGTCTAGTTTGAGGCGTGCCACCTCCGTGTGAGTTCAAACTGTGAATAGCATTGAGTGGTCAATATCTTCCCAGAGATGCGTGTGTCAATAATCTTCTGAAATGTGTAATTTTTCATCAAGCAGTCTTTGAACTTGAAACAGCCGTAAAAAACTTTGATCCTTCTTTTGAATTAAGTGTCAAAATTGAAATATCCTTCTTTGCCCTCCCCACAAATCCTAATCATTTTTTTTTTACCATCCCTAATTTGTGTGGAAATGAAAATGTTCGTGAATGGTACGGCCAGCTTAAGTGAATCTGCTCTAACTTGCTTGTTTAGACCTTTTTTGTCTTTCAATCAGGTCAGAATGCTGCAGTGCTCTTCAGCGTGAGTCATCAACCTCATCAGAACAGCAGAGAACTACTGATTCTTACAAAGTCCTGACTCTCAGGAGAGGAGGGGAGATCGGCCTGTAAATCCTGCTCTGCTGCCGAGTCTGACTGGCATGGACACCGGCGCTTTTCCGCCTGGTATTTATATCTGAGGGCCAATCAATTCCCATCAACCGACACCATCCACACTGTCATCAACAATGTCACAGAGACCATCAAACATGCCTGGGCACCTGTACCCCACCACACAGGCCCAAATGATATTGATACACACCGTGATTGATCACGGATCACTGATTCCGTCGGTAGAATCAATCAGCTATACAACTTGTAGTCCCTTCATTTACCTCCTTTTTACATGGTGCTTTTTGCCTCATCGAGGTTAAATTCAGTGTGTTTCTGCACTCTCTCGCGCTGCAATAGTTGTATTTGAGACTTGCCATCTGCTTCGTTTCCTTCACTGCTTTGCGTGTGTGTGTGTGGACAAGACTCTAGTTTGCAAGAATGTGAGTTCTGGCTGCACAGAAAGCCTTTGAAATTCTCTGCAGCCGAAATAAACAGTTCCTTGCTGCCACACACATGCGTACACATGCACAGAGCACCTCCTCTGAGTCTCTCTCTCTCTCACTCACACACACACACATACGGACAGACCTTGTACAAACAGGCTTGCTGTTTTCCTATCGATGCCCTGGAGGTCACAGGTCACTGGTCCCTGGTCGTGCCTCTCTGTGAACTTCAGGACAAACACCCAGCTGTCTCCATGTGAGACGGAGCTTGTCTCGGCCGTCACATTTGGGTTGACGGAGGGCAGGACACCACCATCCTTTGCGATGGTGAGAACCGCTGTGCCATTCAGCAGCCACACCATAACAGTCCACCGGGTGTTGGAGGCACTGCAGGTAAAACGGGCCTCCTCTCCTCGCAGGACGGTTAGTGTTTCAGGCGACAGCTTCATCCGACCTGCGACTACTGAAAACCAAAGAGAGACAGAAATAAAACACATTAGTCCTTCCATGTTGAGCTGATTATGAAACATACCGATCACCAGAGCAACACTGACTAACACTGCTGCTAACGTACTTGAACAAAGTAGTCTGGCATGTTGGGAAATGCGCTTATTCGCTTTCTTGTTGAGAGTTAGATGAAAAGATGGATACCACTCTCAAGTATGTAGCTATGGAGCAAGTAGCCAGTTAGCTTAGCTTAGCACAAAGACTGGAAAACGTGACAAAGTCCCAAAAGTGACAACGTCTAAAGCTCACTACTTAATGCATGACATCGTTTTTGTTTAATCCATACAAAAAACAAAAAATATCCAGGCTATGAGACTATTTCATGGACGGACGCTGTGGCTTCCTGGAGTCCAGTGGTATTAAAAAGCAATGTTCGGCCATTCAGTATTAAGCTGGCTTTGCAAACTCACTACTGACCTCATCAGAAAATCACTCGTAGTAGGGAAACACAGATCTATATTCTGAACATAAACAGTTTAACAACAGTCAAATGCTACAGTTCTCTTGAGTGACATTAGCACGTGAATGCAATTTTAGCAGGATAGGAAACATTATTATACTGCAACATTATTTTTGCAATGCACACTGATTACTTCAAAAATGATCTCAAACCACATAAAATGAATGCAATGCGCACATACAGTTAGATTACATTTGTAGAAATAATAAGTAACACGTTATTGGAGAAGTTGTCACAGATTATTTGAGAAGAGACTTTGCCTTTTATAGTCGGGGATGAATTGAAGGTTGGTGCAGTAAAGGAAACCCATAAATATGGTGGAGAATCAGTGAGCCGTAAGTAGAGGCAATCGCTCAGTTTGCTCAAAGAACACAAGAACTATAGAGGAGCCAGTGTGTCACTTTCAAACACATTTCCCATAACAATTAGGACATGGAGAGAGCGAGTAAAAAAGAAAGAGAGAAAGCCTTTGAGGCATAAAGAGACAAAGAAAGAGAATGAAACAACTCCTTAAAACTGTTTCTTCTTTCTCTGTGATTTGGACTGGTGCATGAATGAGGGCAAGTAGGATTTAGGGAAGAATTACGAACAAAAGTAGGAGAGTGTAAATGAATCTGTAGCTGTTGGCAAAAGGCCACTGCATCATTCTGCAGGCTGAACATTTTAACATGCAGGGAAACCTACAGAGTTTGATAAAGCCTGCAGAATCCCAAATTAAGCATCCGTTCAGGACATTAGGGCTGAGAAATATCGAGGCCAGCCTTTATGGCTTTTTCTTTTCATCGCAATTAGAGAATGGCAGTCTAATGAGCGTCATGTATGCGTGCTCCTATTGGGACCATGAACCAGTAACTCTGAAGCCCCCTGACCACGGTCTTCATCTTACTGTTAACTTAGATAGGCAGCTGTGGACAGGTGTTGTAAATTAGCATTTCGTTAGAAACACTATACACAGCGTGTCTGGTCTGTGGCGTTAATGTGTGTTACAATTCTAATGTCCATATCCAATTAACTGAACTTTTTTTTTTTTAAGAAAAGTAATTATAAAGGATAGATAATTAGGCCTTCTAATTAGATTGTGGGTTGAATCTGAACGATGCTGCTGCTAAGCACACCACAGCACTGAATGTGGCCGGTAGTACAACCACATCACTGGCCCTTTGTGACACAGCTCCAATCAAACAAGCTGCTGTGTTTGTTTGGAGCTGCACTGAACTCTCACCTTGAATCCTGCACGAAAGCAGGAGCACGAACAGATAGAAGATGTCCATGTTTAATCCGTCAATCCAGTTAATCCATTGTCCGATGCTGAACGGACCGGAGACAAAAGGAATTTAATTATTTCCCAACAGAGGAAGACGGTTGATCATAATCTCAAGTCTTGAGCCATGCTAGCAACGAGGCATCAGGGGTGGGTTTGTCTTTCTGTTAGTCCACAACTCTGGTCCAGACTGAAATATCTGAACTACTGGATGGATTGCCATGAAATTTGGTCACATATCCATGTAACTCAGGGGGTGGATGGTTCTTTCACATCAGCTTCAGCTGTACTCGTGTTTACTGCTAATTAGTATCTCTTTGAGCTGCTAGCATGTCTGTAGTCTTGTTTTTAAAAAAGCCTTTAAAATATAAAACATATATACATATCCTACATCTTCTATAAAAGACAAGAGGACTTTTCCATTGCAATCAAATCCTTTAAGTTCTTCCTGGAAATAAAATTAAATACAATTCCAAAAAAAAAACAAAAAAAAAAAAAATAATAATTTGTTTCTATTTTGTTAAATTTAAATTATTTATTATTTTATTCATTCTTAGCTTAACTCATCCTTGTGCATTCATGTCATTTAAACATTAAACTCAATATAAAGTTAATTAAATAATGCTTTACATAGTTGAATCAGGATTAAAATATTTTAGCATTGGGCGATGTGATCTTGTCTTCTAGTATTCGTTAAAAGCCGAGCAGCTGTATTTTGTACTAGCTGAAGGCGTGACATAGTTTTTGGCTTAACCCTGAATACAACTAATTAATTAATTAAGTTGGACATTTGTAGACAGAGAGACTTTGGAGGATGAAAAAGAATGATTTGAGATTTCTTTCCATTTAATCAAAAATCAATAATTGTTTTGAGGTATCCATCACTTTATCTCTGACAGAAAAGATAATAAAAATAAGAAAGTTACCTGAATAGGACTGTAAAGTTACTCCATGGAATGAACTCTCTGATCATTTTACAACAAATCATATTTTAGTAAAAGTAAAAGAGTTTCAGTTAAATTGAATTCAGGTCAGAGTATGATTACTTATTTAGACACAAAGTTAACCAGTAAAATCACTGAGATCTTGTATACAACAAACTGGCAACGCTGCACCTGTGTCTCAACCATTTATTTCACACACAGCATAAAGCAGCACCGACTGAGCGAAGTTCAAGTTGAACAGTAAATAACAATAAACACCGCAGTGTTTGTCTGACTCACCTCAGTTTGGTGTCTCTGTGGATCAGCGGCAAGTGACCCACGCAGTGGAAACATGTCAACAATGCTGCACCTCCCTCAGTCTTGGTGCTCAGCCATGTCACCCAAAACCTGTCCTGTTAAATATTACCAAACTCAGTGCGAACTTTGCCCCGTGCTGCACACTGATGTAAATATAGTGTGACTCATAGTGCAAACAATACCCCCTTGTAAGTCCCCAGTTCCCAGGGGGCCGTAGACCTCCGCCCTCTTCAAATGAATGGCAGTGGACACGCTGGATGATGTAGCCGTATGGTAAACATGAGAGATGTACAGTATGAAGTTCTCAGTGTGCTTTGAGAACTGTTAGCCATGCTAGCGCTGTGGCACTGGATGGCAATGTCAGTCTGTCAGGTTGGTCCACCTCTTTGGTCTAGACTGAAATATCTCAACAACATTCATGTTCCCCAGGAGATGAATCCTAATGACTTTATTGCCTCTAATGCAACTACGAGTTTCCATTTTTGGCTTTTAGTGAAATATTCCAACGAGCCGGAATGTTTTCTGATCCAGGCAGCCCACAAAAAATCTGCTTGTTTCTTTAATTAAACATAATAAATTCCTTGTACTGAAGTGGTTAGATGACAGCCTATTGTACCCTGTTGACAGCTCTTACATTGTATTGTAAAGTACTTACAATGCCTTGCCAAATATACTGTATATTTCTTTGTTATCGTATGCTTCCCTCCTCATTTTCCCGGGACCTCTTTGGACAAGGCATTTGCTTCATCTTCCTGTTTGCCCCTGCGCTGCTCACCATGCACAATGGTCCATTGATCTATAAATACGTATGTCAACAAAAGAAATAGAACCACTGGGGTTTCTTTCTATACCAGTCTACTTTATTGCATTTTCCATTGCATCCAAGACTTAGTCACATGTTTCCCTCTTCATTCAACAAAGTGCATTGATTAGACAGCAGTATTTGTAGTGGTGGTGGAGTAGTTTGCGGTATGTGCGTAGTCTTTTCTCATGTGGCCATTAGAAGTCTTAGTTTGCATTCATACATTCACTTGGTGGAGGGAGTCAACAAGGCACGACATTGGTAAAACTGCTGAACACACTAGAGAGTAAGAACCTTTGAATCTGAAGTAGGCCACAAGCTGAAGTATGCCACGGTAATGTTTTTTGAAAAGGTCACTGTCTGTGTTAGAAAACTCGACTTTCTAAAAGTAAAACATGAGAAATATGTTTGAGTCTAACAAAATAACTGTTTTGCATTTTACAAAAGCTACTCATTAAAAACAAACTGACACCACTAGGCTACTCATTTTCAGTACAGTCTCTAAATGCAAAATATAAAAATTAAGTCAACATTGCAGTCAAAAGAGAAGAGGGTGGGGGGGAGGCAAATGTGGGTTCAGACTTCATTTCGGATGGCGCCTTCAAGCACATGACCGACAGTTTCCAGTGGAGTCCGTGTGGCCTCGGGGAGAGGTGGAGGGGTTCAAGCGTCATGGGGTCAGGGAGAGACGTAACGGGAGGCTCCTTCAGGCTGAAACACAAGGCGAACAGGAAACAAACATAAAAATAAAAAAAAACGAGGTCACACATTTCCCAGTAGACAGTCTGCGACAGCCACCACCACCGCTACGCCTGTGCCACCCAGCGTGCCCGCTCCTCCGGAGGCACATCTGAAGCTCACTTAGCAGCTACCTCTAACAAGGCATGACAGGGGCTCGCAGGGGTTGGGAGACAGCTGAGGGACATGAGCGTCGCCCATTCCTCCAAAAGCTTGCTCTGTGGCCCATAATGCAGCGGGATCATAGATGCCTGACATGCGCAGAGGGACTAAAAGACATGCTTTGAAGATTAGGATTATTATTATCATCATTACCATCCTCATCATCATCGCTGCCTCAGAGGAACAAAAAAAAAAAAAAAAGGATGTTTTTGTTGTGGCTCCAGATGATCCCCAGGCATTCTGTGTGCTCACTGAAGCTGTCTGCAGATGGAGCCAGTAGTGGCAGTCCCTTGTAAATAAGCTGCTGCATTATTTAGTTTCCTCTGACTGAACACCTCAAAGTGCAAGTCAACGGAAAAACCAAAAGACAACACAATGCAAACACCAAGGTGAAGCAAGGGGAACGTCAGCGTTAGCATGAGATTTATGCATCCCATATGTGAAAGGCAAGAACATTATACGTCGTACTGAATGCTACAGCGCTGCTTCATGGGCACAGTATACAATGTAGATAAAGCACAGAGGTTTGAGTAATCGCCTGCTATTATTCGGCGGCCTTTGATTTGATAGCGGGGTCAAAGAGGCACACAAAAGCAAAACACAGTTTAATTAATCTGGTTACATAAAATGCCAAATATCAAAGCAACACCTATTCATGCTGTGGTGTAACGTTTGCTATTAATTCACATAATGTGTTACTGCCCTCCAGTGGTAAAGCACAAGCACTGACACAAAGCAGTGGAGAAAGTGTCGCGTTTCACCTGGAGAGTAGCAAGTCAGCATCAACAAGGTCATCTGGCTTCAACTACTCGGCCTCTTCCTCCTGTGAAAAAGAAATAATCACGTAAGAATAACAAATAGGAAGAAGTGAAAGATGACAGAAGTAGAAAATTCTCAAGAATGTGTCAAAATCTGTGTTTTGAATTACTTTCTGTAGAATTGTTATGTGATTATAGCATCTGAAGGTTTTGAAAAATCTAATAATTTAGTACAAATTGGTGCAGTCTAGGTTGATTGTTGTGTCCGCAATTTGTCTCAGTGACCCGGGTCGGATCCAGTGAGTGAGTGCAGCTTTAAGCCTAGTGGATTTAAGCTTAGTTTGTTGCACAAATAAAAGCAACGCTGGTTCCTCCGACAGATGGTAAAAAAAAAAAGCCAAAAGCTTCTCTTTTCCCTTATTGCTCTCCTAAAATCAGTGATGACTGGGTCTGAATAATCAAGATGCCCGATTAAAGTGTATTTGTGTCCCACACAGATCCACCCTTTTAATAAGAGCGAAACAAGACTTTCTGCAGGCATTTCAAGCACAGGCAGCAGTTCAGATTTAAAAAAAAAAAAAAAAAAAAAAAGAATGGATTGAACTAGTTTCTGTGATACTACCTGTGTTTCTTCCAAGTCTTCTTCTTCTTCCTTTGACGTGTTGAAAAAAAGAAAGACAGAAGACAGGGGTTGTGTGAAGCCACGGTCCCGAATGACACGAGGTGAGAGGACTTCACGTGTTAGTGTTTGTAGGGATGGTGGGTTATAAATGGAGTAACCCGAGAGAGGTGCGGCCGGTGGCAACGACGGCGGGGACGAGAGAGAAAGAGAGCTAATGACCCACAGAGTTCAGTTTATCCTGGGATGACCTAAGTGAGATAAGAGTGGTGCTTAAGACTGCGCACCATAAAAGATGAGTGCCAAACGCCATCACACAAACAGATCTATGACACCTGAAAACAAAGTAGGCAGCAGTTTATAGCCTAGTGGGTCATCTGATGTAACTAAATATATTTATGTGCTTTTGTTCTCCTAGTGTTGCAAAAACAACAAGAAGTGCTCCATCTCATCCATACTCTTTGGAACTTGTCGCATCCACTTTGTTTCAAAGCGCTCTTGGCAAAAAGAAACAAAAGGTATGACTTCTTCTTCTTCAAAAAAAAAAAAGAGAATAAGACATGTCCCCCTGTCAGGTCAGAGTGTCCCCTCTCCGTGCAACACAACATGTCCACGTTATGCTCGTGTGCAAACAGGCAGGGTTGAACAACACACCAAAACTTTCCACCTGTTCTCAAGGCATCAAAACAAAAAGAAGTAAAGATGTCTTGGCAGACTCCGAGAAAAATGGCTGAGTAAATGTTCTTTAATGCAACACTGAACTAACAACAGCTACTGTGTGGTCAGATGCCATCTTGAAGCAAAGCTCATCTGTGAAAATCACAGCTGAGTCACTTGTGTGCACTTGACTTCGCGACACAAAGTTGCCTTGGATGGAAACAGTAGAAATGTTTGCATACACCGGTGTTGTCTTTGTATGCGGTCAGATCATGCATCAAAATCCAAATATGATTCACACGATGCAGAACAGAATATGTACCTCTTGTACTTCAGCCTCTTCTTCTTCCTACGGAAGATAAAACAGTGTTGTGTTTAGTAATTAAATGTCACACAGAAGGAAAGAAGATCAACGTAATTCGTGGTCTGTATATGGACTCGCATTTTTGTCACCACACTAAATCCACCTTCCGTTTAATTAACATTTTGTCATATTTCTCATGCTGCACACCATCAGGCATCTCCATGTAAGATAACCGACAAATCCATGCAGCAACACAGAGAGAGAGGGACTAAATAAAGAGGGAGGACAGTTTAAACCCTACATTTTATACAGCCTTAAAAAAAAAAAACAGGACGCCACAAACAACAACAGAAAGCCTTGTTTGTCTTGCTCCTGCAAGAGAAGTGGGACAACAACACAATAGATGGAGAGGTAGAGAGGAAAGAAGGCGAAGCAAAGCAGTGAAGCATACGTGACAGAAGATCAGGCAGAGGCTGGAATGTTTCAGAGAGGTGGAGCTCTTTTCACACAGCACATCAAACAAAGGGACATTTTAGGATCTGGACTTTTGTTGTTTTGTTGTTGTTTTTTAATCCTGGGATCTGGTTCAGTCCGAATTCTCTAGGGAATACTGTCAGTGTGAGAGACAATGTGTGATCGAACACATAGGTCTGGTTTCATGAGTGTGTGGTGCTCAATGTAGCCGGAGGTCTTCCTATATGTCCAACAAAAAAGATAACTGAATCAATATTCTCTCATCTGGAGAGCATGAGGACTTTTTAGAGACTTTTTTTAGTGAGTCAATCATACTGAAACTGTAAAAGTGTGTGGGTCAAAAACAACTTTAAAAAGGGAGCGAGACACTAGTCTCGACCAGCCCCAAGAAGAGATGACACCCCTGTGTGTAAGTGCATGCTGAGATGTGTGTATGGGATGCAGAAGAACTTTGAGAACATACTGTAAATTCATTGCACACATACTAGAATGCAGTATCAAACTAATGACATATATGAGTAAAGGGACTTTAAATTAGTCAGTATATTGCAGTATTACCTTTCTAAAAATTGATTCTTGTATTGGATATGTTCTTATGACAGGCACTGGAGGTCATGCTTTCAATCGTCACTGCATTTGTGAGTGGAGACGATACACACTTGAGGTTGCGAGCAAAACCTCTTAGTATGGCCAACAGTGGTGTCCTGAATCTTATTCTGAGTCTACTAGTTATCGAGTGAAAGAGAAAATTTGAAGGAATGCTTGATAGTCTGGGAAGTGATGAAGGAAACTGAGGAAGGATTGGGGCTGGTTAAAGAAACATCACGTGAATCTACCTCAAGCTGCCGAAGCTCTTCTTCCTCCTAGAAGTAAATAACAGATAGCAGGTCAGCCGGCTGTGTGGGGGAGCAAAAGAGCACCACAGGCATGCGCTATAGAAAAGTCCTCTGACTTAAAATGGAAACTACGTGGGGATGGTTGAGGTTGTCAGGAGGCAGCTACAGAAACTGGGAAGAAATGAGGAACAGGATGTTAGCAGAAAGGAGATGGGAAACAAAGGGGAGTAGAGTGATGGAGAGAGAGAGAAGATAGAAGGGGAAAGAAAGAAAGGTGAAGTGAGCACATTAAAGAGTGTACAGATGAGTGGGAACAGCACCCAAGCCCATCCCAACCCAACCGGAGCAGCCTTCCCTGATCTGTGCACCATCAAACCCACACTGCTGATGACTATACGGAGGAGCCGCAGGCAGAGACGATCGCCGACGCACAGTTACCTCTGACTGCAAATCATCTTCCTCCTGGAGGGAGCAAACCAAGAGATGGACATAAGGGCAAAGAGGGGGTCAAAGGCCGTACGGTGCGTGCACGAGGAACAAGACTGCTGCAGGACCTCTGAAACTGATGCATCTAAGTGAATGTGAGTCAGTTGATTTCCATAGACACACAAGCTGAAGAGACGTGCCAGTTCTTACATGCAGCTACCTGAAGAAGAAGGTGGGGAGACTGTGTGTAGCTTTAATTAAAAATGGCAATAAGAACTGAATAAACCTCACATTACCAGGGCATATAAATGTGTCACGGTAAAAGACCAAACTGTGTAGTTAAAGTGGAATGTAGCATTTTTTAACTGCAGACATGCCGCATAATAGTAGGTAAATGTTGAGTTAAATCAACTATCACTGCCAGAATGTCTTCTTTGTATATTTTTCCCAGTGGTGTGAGGCTGTTAAATGTGTTTGATGATCATGACATGCATTCTCAAAAACCAGAGTCTGGCAAACAGTGGCTGAACTGAAGATATTAAGTTTCAGGCATTCAAATGCTTGTGCACAGTCCAAGTGGTGCGTCAATTAAAAAAAAGTGTGTTTACAGTCAGAGTGGGTTTGAACCTCTGAATGAGAGTCTTCTATCTAACATACTGGACATTAGAGGTTTGCATTGGATCAACTGAGACTAGCTCACATTATTAAGGAAAGAGGATTATATATTATAACAGATTTCACATAGATACTGATTCAAAACAACAGAAGCGTTGTAAATAAGTCGTGTGTGAAATAATACAACTCATTTTAAAAGGGGAGTAGAAACTCTCACTAATCGAAATTCTATTTGAGGTTCTTAAAACCGACGGCAAACAAAAAATCTGCCCAATTTTTTTTTTTACAATATCATAAATCCAGCTCTGGCGTGAGAATTAAAACAGATTAATTTACAATTCAATAGACACTCGACAAGTGCAGCTCATGTTAGTAATCATTATTTTCAGATCTCCAGAAGCAGACATCGGTGTGTGTTTGTAAACTCCTGATAAACCTACCTGTTCCTCTTCCTCCTCCTCTGCTTGGGCCTGCTGACAGAAGAGATAAGATAGTATTAGAGATGTCAGACTGTGCTTACATGTACGGACTGATCCCCCACACACAGAACTTATACTGCACATTATTCACACTAAAACACAACAGCATCCACAGAGCAGGCTCATTGAACCAGAGACGTGGGGTGTTTGTGGGACCCTACTGACGGTTAATAGTGATCGGAGATGTGCAGTGAAATGCGGGATGGAAGACAATTGGAAACAACGTCGTCAGCAAAATACAAAGACACATGGAGGAAAATAAAAAAAGAAACTGGACAAAAGGTTGCAGAAATACAACAGTGAAATGGTTAAATGTACAGTGGTGCTGAACAAGAATGGTGAAGAGGAACATTTTTGGTTAATAAACGACCGAATCCTGAAGAGAGAATTGACAAGGAGATGCAGTACGAGGACGACAGGCACTCAAAAAGGAGGCAAACCCTTAATATGGAAGAAAGGGACATTAAAGGGACAGTAGAGATGCTGAGGGAAGGAAAAACAGAGCATTCCAGGAATGATGGGAAGGTGGAGGAGAAGACATTACATTCAAACATTAAAGGGACGGAGGGAGAGGCAAAACTACGGGAGGTTGGATTGCAGTTGAGTGGCAATTACTGTGTCTTCTGTGACCTCGTCTGTTTCTTCCACTGCCTCCTCCTCCTCGTCTGCGGGGGCCTCGTCTCCTTCCGTGACTTCCTCCTCTGCAGTTTCTCCTTCTGCCACCTCCTCATTCCCATTTCGCGCCTCCACCGGAACCTCCTTTTTTTGTGAGGTGAGAACAACAACAAACTGGTGATGGAGGAAAACAAGCGACTTGGAATATTAATGGCATAGTTGTTCAGGCACTGGTTCATCAGCTGGAGAGGTTCAGAGGCTCAAATGGTCGGAGTTAGTCAATCCTGGGAATAAAGCAGAGGAGGGGTCGAAGCGGCGGCGGTTAAAAGAACCAAAAGTTGGCTATGATGCATCATGAATTGAAGAAGACAACAGTTTGTTATGTGCCAGACTATTACAGAATAAACTAACGAGGTATAACGAGTTAATCTGAGAGCTTTTTAGGTCTTTGGACAGAGCCAGGCTAGCTGTTTTCACCTCTCTCCAGTCTTTGTGCTAAACTAACATTTACCTTACAGACATGAGAGTGGGCCTTACTTTTCTCAACTCAGTCTCAGCGAATAAGTGCATTTTTCCCAAAATGTTGACCGGTAAAAGCACAACCCGCACTCCTGCTAGAAAGAAAATGCACCTAAAATGACATTGCAGATACTGTGGGGAAACAGAGGTCCAGCAGGGATTTTCATTTGGGAGGAAAGTGACTGGAAGTATGAAAAACACAACATGCTTGTTTTACGTATTGAACAAAACCACAATAATGAAACAAAACATCACATTTTACAATGCAAATCAAACATACTCCACTCTGTTATATACTAGTTGTAGACAGGATTGTAGGAACATGATGCTTCACACCTCTGTGGCAGTCCGGACACAGTGACACAGCGATACGACAACTCAAGTGTGTTGTGTTAATTCTCTCTCATGCAGAACTCCAGAAGATTAGTCAGTGGTGACGACTGGGACAGAGAGGAAGTTAAGAGTCTGTTCGAGTCGACAGGTATGGAGAGAAGTTACGCTGGGTGGAGAGGAAAAGTTGAGATGCGGGGAAAAAGGAAACACGACGGGGGGAGAACAAAAGTATTGACGGCATTACTATTGATTCATCAAGGCTCTCCTCGGCATTGGTTTCCTCAGCGTGGGTCCCGTTCTCCACAATGAGCGCCTTGTCGGCCTGCTCTGCTTCCTGGGTCAATAAAAAATTATCAGCTTTAACAAAAGTGTGTCAAACAAAAGCAGGGCTTGAACTGTTTAGATCACCAGTCAATATGTCCTCTTTGTATCAATTTCAACAAGTTTAAAGTTAGATATATGCTTCATCGGTTACAGTCCCTATGAGTTTTGTTATAGGCATCAAGATCTGACAACATGATTAAGTACGTTACGTTGTTCTTCACAGTATTGTGGACTCTGTAGTATTGCTTTAAAACGCTTGTGCAGCATTCTGGATCTGGTTTAAATGAGTTCTACTGCCTTGTAATCCCATGTGGGCTGTATGCGGGATGTATGCATGACATGGTAATAAAGAAACATCATCATATATAGTGGTGTTTGATGTTCATTTCAAGCCCTGTGCACGCTTTACAGTTGTTTAATTAGAAACGTATTTTGATATTCCGTGATTTATCAAGCACAAATGCCATATATTTCACCGCAGTTTCAATATGTTTCTGTCTTGGACTGTTAGTTTGACAGGAAATGTAATATAAAGGCATCATTATGGGCTCTGGGATACAGTGATGTTGTCTATTTTTCACAATTTTCTAACAAATTAAGCTAAACTTGTTGTTTAATAACCTGATGACTGCTTGATTAATTCTGTTGATCGCACAGGTTTAATGGTTCTCGTGAGATTTTTGCCAAATTGCCTAAATTGTATCGTTCTAGTACTTAAAATCCTAAAGGAACATCTTTCTCTGACAGATGTCACATACTATCTACTACAAACAGCTGGTGATTATTGCACAAAGACTAATTGTGTTCCACTAACTTTAAACCTGCTATTAAAAAAACAATAAGCTCTTCGGTTAAATACAAAAAACACTATCGCTGCTGTCCCAATACAGCAGATCTGGCGTAGGGGCGAATTCAATTATTTTATTTCGAAGAAAATAGTTCCAACCTTTGACCCAGGAGGAGGAGGCAGCCCCAGGAAGGCATACACCATGTTGTCCTCCTTGGCGTCAAAGAACGTCTCGTAATCCTGCATTCAAAACAAAAGAGAACGTTCTTTAACAACTCAATGCATCTTCCATTCCCACTTCCTCATCATGCAGGTATGTGCAGTGTAGTAGTTACAAATCCAGCAAATCCCTGTTTCTGTGTACATACCCCACAGTAGCCCTCCTCGTTGAAGATCTGAGGGGGCAGCGGGATGCCGTTGGAGGGCTTCTTCTCCTCGGGGACGTTCTGCCTCATCCACATGCGGTTCTCCTCGTTGCAGGCGATGTCCAGCGGAGCGTACTCCACTTTGAGAGCCTCCAGGAAGCCGACCACATCTTGCTGCTTCTTCTTGATCTGGGAGGCAGGAGAACAAACAGTAATACGCGTTATGAAAATCAGCACTGATTGCACAGCGTGTGGGGAAAAGGGCTGTAATATTTAACTTTAAAGATTGTAAATACCAGCGTTTTTTTGTGTTTAATAAGTGTGCACCACCTTTCCCCATTCCTGTCTCCTACCAAACATATAAACTACGACTTGAGCAATTACTAACTATTTTGATATTTGATTAGTTGTTGAAGTTTTTAAATCGAGCACAAATGCCAAATATATCGCTTCAGATTGGATATATTTATATTTTGGACTGTTAATTTGACAGGAAATGTAACATGAATATATCATTTTAGGGTCCTGGGATAAAGTGAGGGTCTATTTTTCACTATTTTCTAACAAATTAGAATGAGATCTGAATTGTGTAAGACACAAAGTGGACTAGATTCAGTCGTAACATTTCTAAACACAGTGTGGGGGCCCCTGCACCTCTCCCAGTATACACTGCATGGAAGACAAACAAACAAACTAAAATCTACTCAAGAGGACAAAACCAAACTTTTACTGCTGCAAGACAAACACTGTTGGCCAGCTGGGCCACCAGGCCATCAAACTGCTTATTTAGCTTTGCCAAAAGTAGACCCAGAAGATATATTCAGCCCTGCTGTGGTCATCACACATAGTGTTTAAACAAGGTACATCTGATCACAAATACTAGATAAAGGCTGTTTGTGAGGGTATCTGTGGGCTGAAAGCGTCTCGAGACATGAAAAACGTTCGGAGCCCCCTGTTCTAGAAAGATCTGCATGTGAATCACATCGACCTGCGAGATAATGAAAGTATTGAACCGCTGCAGAGGGGTAAAAAAACTAAGCGTCCATCATCTACGTATATGCCAAAACCGCAAGCAAGTGACATTCATGTCGAAGGTTTAGCGCTCAGTGTGTGAGAGAAAGTCCTGCTCGGTTTTAAGAAGTATCTTCAACCGGAGGAAAGTTGATAAGAACACTTACCGCGGTGGATCCCGACGAAGAGGCGAGGAATACTTTGATAACCATGTTTGTTACAATGTGTTGTGGTGGAGTAGGCTATTCAACAAGTAGACTCTTAAAGGAGCAGGCGGCCTCCTCTATTATTAGAGCTCACCCAGGACGGGGGACATAGCAGCGAGATCTCACACACACACACACACACACAGACAAAGACACACACTGCTGCTGCTATTTTTGGTCTCCGGGCTCCATTAACGCTGGATTGGCCGGTTGGCCCCTAGGGGCGCAGCGCCACACAGACTGATTGGCAACTTCAGCTGTCTGTCGGCGCAGGGGACAGTGAAGCTGGTCCTCAGCTCGTTACTGAGTGCATATATGGACAGAAATAGCTCTGACCAGCACTATAGGCTGTCCGGCTTTGGTTTCCAAACGCACCAACTCGGGCCCGTTTAGGGGGCCCCAATGAGGGACAAACATAAAGCCGCTATATTTTTTAATAGATATATATATATATAGCATATTATTTTATATTGCAACTTTTCTGCAAGAAGTGTTACTCTTACTTTTGAGTTTTTTTAACCATTATTTCCGCCGGTTACGGTGACATCTGTGACAGTTTTCAGTCATTTTTAAAAAAGGCCCCGAGCGAACCGTTGGTGAAATAATGTACCGTTAGCCTCATTAGCTACTAGCTAGCTAGCTATCTTAAATACAACCGTCGGGAGAGAAAACGACGAGATTATTTGCAGGTAAAGGTTTTTTTCTCATCAAAATCTAAAGAGGGGTAAAACGTTTTTATTGAACTCAGAAAAAAACTATTTAAGTTGGTTTATTTACCCCTAAAGCTTTGCTTGTTGTAAACTGGTAAAATGGTCTTTTTCGTATTTTCTCAGAGTGGAGAAGCCTATAAAAGAAGTGATGCAGAGCCTGAGGCAGCAGGCCTTTGCTCCCAAAGAGGAGGAGGGTGACGGTGATGCTGTGAGATCGAGCACCGCCACCTCCAGGTGGTCCAGTCCCTCCAGGCTGCAATGTGACTCTAACAGATCATACCACACATCTGACTTTGAAGACCAGGATGACCCGCTTACAGACAAGGCCCCAGAAGTCAAGACATCAGACAAGTGGCCAAGGTCGAACACACTGGGACGAGAAAAAGGCATTTTTATTTAACATGATTCACTACCTGTGTAATATAACTTGTGTTGTCCATGTGTAAAACAATATATTGGATGCAATTCACACTATCGTGACTTTTCTCTTCCTTCGGGTAAAAAAGCAGAAGGGCCCAACAAGCAAAAGACAGACCACACTGCCAGCCACCATTTGCCCAAGTTGCCTCCAATCAAGCCCCTGCAGGTTTCAAAGCCGGGGATCCCGTCTGCCGACTTGAACCGTATCAAGGATCTGAAGAGCCAGGTGTGGGATCTGCAGCAGCAGCTGAGCGAAGCCAGGACCGAGAACAAGCTGCTGAGGAGGCTCCAGCATCGCCACACGGTGGCACTGCAGCACTTCCAAGACTCCGAGGGCTGCCTCTCCCAGGTCGGTTGGTTTGTCTCCCTTTAGTATCACTGCTCAGATTTCTATCATTGCCACAGAAACATGGCCTGTGGTGGGTACTCATCCTTTAAACGAAGAGTTAAATTATCTGTATGAACCACCTACATCTACTCCCATTTAAGACCCAAATAAAAGCTGCTCATTGGTTCCTCTCTCCAGTCAGAAAATTCTTTTTTTTCCCGTATTTCCAATTAATGTTTGTGTATTTTTTCAGCTCCACAGCCATTTTCTAATCATTCACCTTGACGCCGTCCCTATTCCCAGATCCTCGAAAACCACAGCAACAAGGCCCGAGTCCTGCAGGGGTCGCTCCGTGAGACTCGCGCCTGCCGCGACAATCTGGCAAGGCAGCTAAAAACCACAGAAAAAAAGTTGCTGAGCACAAAGGCCAGTGTCCAGCACCTACAGCTGCTCAATGAGGACCACCGCCTGCTGGAGAGGGAGGAACTCACCTTTAGGCTGACCCAGGCCTCTGCAGAGCTGGAGGGCAAGGACAAGAGGATACTGGTATGGAGGAGCAGGAGGGTGGGACAGTGGTGACTGATACTGTAGATCTCCTAGCATCACCCATGGTCACGGCTTAGAAATATAGATTAGACCTCAGCACTAATACACAGGGCATATAAATAGGAACGGGAATGTTTTATGATTTCAGTCACTTTGCGTCTCTTTTAACGCAATATTTTAGGACTTGGAGAAGAATCTTGAATTGTGCCGATCCTCATTCAATCGTCAAATAGTCACTGAACAAAGAAAGATCAGCAAGGCGAGAAAGATGTCCTGCTATCTGCAAGAGCAAATATATCAGCTAAACAAGGAAATTCAAGTAAGTTTAAAAGAGCTTGGGCGATTTTCTTTATTAGACATATCCTAGTCCTTGTTAATGTACAGTATTGTTTATTGTGCAAGCTCCTGTCTTCAGTGATGGGAGCAGCTCAGCATCCCATAAAGACAACCAAACATTCTAAATTGAATTTTCCCGGTGTAGATTTGCAACGGTTGCATTAGCTGCACATGTTAGAGAGGTATTTAATAACAAACTATATTTATATTGTGTCTTTTGTTTCCCCTTTACAGGATAGAGAGAGAGAACTGGAAACACACAATATTTACTCCCACAGGTTCCTAAAACCACCGTCCAAAAAAGGTGAACAAACACAACAAGCTACTCCAGCTCAGTTTGGTCATGTCACATTTGTTGTGTCTGTTTTTTTTCTGATTTTTAGTCACTGAAAGCAAGATGGTTCAAACTGATGGATTAGTCCTTCTCCTCACTGCGGCTGTGAGTCTTTTGCAATTAGAATATACGGAGACTGAGGAGAGCTCTGTGAACTGGGTAAGATTCAAATATTGTGTTGTGTACTGTCAGGGTTTTTACATCAGACCATTTTACTCATTTGCCTACGTTTACTCGAGTTTAATTGTTGGCAAAGAACCGTGGGGTAACTTTTGATGGCCACTTACCCTTTGAGCAGCATACCAGAAATATCATACATGCTTTTCTATCATCACGCCTGGATTACTGTAACTCTCTTTTTACTTGTTTTGACTCCCACTCAGTCTCACAATTGAAATTTATCAAGAACTCCGATTTTAGCATCACTGCACTGCCCACTAACTTTATAAAACTATTTAACTTCGTATTAATTATCTACAAGGCCATCCATGTTCTGGCAACATATTCTATTTAAGAGCTTTTAACTCCTTGCAGCCCAAACAGGCGCCTAATCAGCTGACCAAAACCTTTAAGTTGTTCCACCGGTCAGACTGGTGGAACCAATGGTGACGTTTTCATTTACGGCCGATCGGCAGTGGAAGACTCCACTGCAGCTTAAAACTCACTTTTACAACATAGTCTACACTTAACAATGTTTAGTTTTCCCTTATTGCATCACTTCATAGTTCCTCTTCATACTACTATTTTATGGTGTTATTTTATCTTGTCATTACATGTTTCAATTTTGCTTGTTTATTTGATATGCACTTCCATATATTTAGTTTTGAAGAATTCTTTTATTTTCATTGTTTTTTGAGTTAATTCTGATATTTGCATCTTAATTTTTTGTACATAATTAAATATGGACTTATTTATTTTTCTTTGCATTTGCACCTCCATTTGTTATGGGCTCAGTGCATATATTTTTGTTATTTATGAATTCGTTTTATTATCCAAGTAGTTCAAGATTTTGCTCTCATATTAACAAAGCCTGTATATCATTTCAGTGTTGTTACAATCCAGGGCAGGAGTCTTTGGTACTAGAAGATCCAGAGAAAGACGTTTCTTCAAATGTCTCATTAGAAGAGGAAACTGAGACGTGTTCAGGTGAGCACTTATTAATGTTACAGTATAATAAAAGAAACTGACACCACAAGCAATGCACACAGACAAAGTTGTTGGAAGATAAAATACCATAGTGGTACACATCCACCAACAACTCTCACACAAGACGACAAATACCGTTAAGAGCCCACTTAGTATGAAGTCTTTGTAATATGGAGCTAAACGTGTTTTATTTTAGAGTCATTCAGTATTTATTCAAAGAAACTACAAAAAAATATGTTTTCAGACACCAGTGAGCAGAGTAGTTGTTCAGAAGAGAGCCCAGAATATCAAACAGAGGAAGCAGAGGCCCCACAGGTGTTAGAAGAAGAGCCGAAAACAGAGGAGCACGAGAGCGAGACGTCTTTCATTTCACAACAGTTGCTGAATTTGACTGAACCCAAGAGAAAAGGATCCAAGCTCTCCAAAAATAGACGCACTTACACCTTCAAAGAATCTATCGAGAATCTGCACAGTGGAAGGCCTGTCTACAGCAGTGTGGACTCGAGTCACTGTCAAAGCCGAGAGGTGGAGGTCATCAGCAGCGAGAGTCGTGAACTCGGTCCTCCAGCTGGGAAATCCAGGAGAGGTGAAGCAGGCAGCCCTCAGGGTGAGTGACGACAGAAGCAGAGCCGGCTGAGGATGATTTGGTGACTAGACACCAGGACTGAGGTCGATAATGTCAGACACACCTATACTCTCTAGCTGCCACACACAGAGGGAAAGTGGATGAGGAGATTTTGTCTGTAGTGGCAGAAGATTTTCTAATATTTAAGTATTTCTCTGAATAAATGATTGTTTGACAAAAAGCTACACCCGGTCCATTGTGATCCATCTACTTTGTTTGTCTTTTACAATTTTACTTAAAAGGACAACTACCCTATTTGTGAATTACCAAATTATAACATTACAATCTTTTCTTGACGTTTTATTTTCTTTAAAAAAGGCATTTCAACATTTCAAAACCATTGTTTTTGGTCCAATTCAGTCAATATTTTCACAATTAACTTAACATCCTCGGAACAAAAAGAACTAAATTCAACATCACCAAAAAAACTATGTTGCAACATGCCAAAATGCACCGCATTTTTACACGTTGACCTGAAGCAGCTGAAAATAAAATAACACAAAATAAGGCTTTCATCAACTGAACGTTGAGCAATAAGTTAGAGAACCAGTGTGTTTGACTCAGCAGCCATCTCTAGCTGACGGCATGGAGACCCAGAGAAACCACTTTGTTACAAACCACCAGCCAGCATGTGATTCCTACTCCACCTGAGGGGAAAGAACAGCCCCGTCAGTGAATTAATGGAGTAGGGAAAGTACAGCATACTGCAACTTATACACACACACACACACACACACGTACTGTGTCTGAATCAGTACAAAAACCCAACAACATCTAAACTAAAGTCGTTTTATACTCAATGTATGTTGTATTACAAAAGAAAAACTGTTCCGTCTGTATTTTATAGCTATAGATGAGTTGTTCTGCGTATATGGAATATGAAAAACAAATTGATTACCTGCAACTCCTGTTGGGAAGGCCACAAGGCGCTCCACTGGGGCAATCCATTTACTCGGGACCACCGTGACTGGATCAGAGTAATACTTCCATATCATGGAGACCATCAGAGCAGCCTGGCAAATAAAAGAAACAAAAGTATAAATACCTAAAGGCTGTTTTGTTAGCTTCACTAAACGCATTTGTGCTTCTTCTTACAATCTCCACCTACCTGCAGTATATAAAAGACGATGTTCACCACCCATTTCATCTTGGCTTGTTGCGCTGTTCTGGATTTCACTGCAGAAGTGAGGAAGTACACAGCTGTTAGACACAGATCTTTGTGATGATGCGTCCTTCTTTATAAGAGACGAGAGAGAGGAGGAACGAACGCCAGTGTTGGTAGAGGTGCTGACAACAAAGTTTTCGACACAACAGCCTTCTTTAACACTAACTCGGTGCCTTATCACCTGTTAACCGGATTGAATAGCCAGTTTGTTGTACTCATCGGCGAGTTCCTCTTGATGAACACAAGTAGAGACTACAAGTCTACTACTGTTTTGAGAGCCATAATCAGAGTTAAACTAGTGATTGTTGGTATTCAACATGGAATATATAGCTTGGTACTGGGAGATTTAAAACTGCCAATGTGCAGTTAAGAGAAATAAAATATAAAATCAAACGATCTAACATCCTTTTGCTCTGCTGTGCATGTGTATCATATTGACATTCTGATTGAAGCTACTTCCTGTCTGTGCACAAGATAATCCCGAGGCTGTGTGTGAAGGACAGTAACAGGCAGCAGCTGTTCCCACTGAACATGTCATCCTAAACCTCCAGAGGTTTTGGGTGATCTGTGAACCTTTATAGGGGTGGACTAAATAACAGGAACACAGATACGAAATGGCCCTGCAATTAACACTCATGTTCTATTTTGTGTTGAGACTGTCACAGAAATGTTGATTTAATAAGAGGTCATAATTTCTAGTGTCGCTGTATGTAGAGGTTATGAATGTTTTTACTTTTGTCTCTCACCATGTGTTTTCAGCTTGTCTGTCATCTTGTTGATTTTGCGCTCCAACCTGGCATATCTAGCAAACTCATCCATCATGCTGATCGAGGCCTGCTCCTTCTTCATCTGCTGGACTTCAGCCCTCATCTCACTCTCCTGCTCAGCATCTTTCTGCACCATCTTTGTGAGCTTGAAAGAAGAACAAAAAGACTATTACTGAGTTAACAGAAGTAGTTTAACTGCAGTGTGGGCTTTTATTTATGGATGCAGGGGCTCAGACACACAGTTCCTCAATAATCCTGCTGGACAATAAAATGTGGTTATTATTACCCATGTATGTTTATCGACTAGCATGCCGATTTCTACTTTTGGTAAGCTGTTTTTTGTTTTTTTTGCAGTTAACGTTACACAGTTTCCCAACGTCACAATCACCTTCCGACACTTGAATTATGCAGCACAAAATGTTCCCCACTTATGTGTAGCAAGTACAGCGGGATCCCGATTAAACCCCACCCTCTGACTGTAGCTAACAGCTATGCTGTTTAAAGCCACCTAACAGCTAGCTATACGTGTAGCTAAAAGCTAAGCTAGTCAACAGTAGTCTGGTGACTGTGAGACGAAGCTAACAGCTAGCTATACATGTAGCTAAAAGCTAAGCTAGTCAACAATAGTGTGCTGACTGTGAGAGGAAGCTATCAGCTAGCTATACATGTAGCTAAAAGCTAAGCTAGTCAACAATAGTGTGCTGACTGCAAGACGAAGCTATCAGCTAGCTATACATGTAGCTAAAAGCTAAGCTAGTCAACAATAGTGTGCTGACTGAGAGGAAGCTACACGAATCAGCCTACACCAACACTCACGATATTGGTTGTCGCTTTAGCATGTGCCTTCAATGCACACACACTTAATATATTCAAGAAAACTACTTACGAAAGAGGATATGGTCGGCAGGAGGCTTTTCATGAGATTGCACAGAAAAACTGACCCCAGCACAAGGAACCACGCATAGCCCGACGCCATGTTTGTTCCTCCTTGTTGCAGCTGTGGAGCTGCAGGACGAGGTTACACAGTGAATGTTGCATAATAATTAGGCCGTTCGGGTTATTCTGGTAATGGCGGTTTTTCAAAAAGCACGTCGTCTTTACAACAGCAACGAACTCCTTTATTTGATATGTTTGTCATAAGGGTTGATTATTCCAAAATAAGTTGCAGTAAAACATGATTTGGTGAGGTGTGATTTATCTTCAGCGTATATACAACTTTTATATGTTATCAGTATGCATGAAGACTTAAAACAAGAAAAGACAGCACACACAAGGGCTCGGCATGCTTCTTTAGATATATGTTTTTGTTTGTGTCTGTACACTCTTACTTAATATCTCATAACATGTACGTGGTTGTTGTCGGGCATTTCTTGCACACACACCCCGGGCACAGTGTGATTAAAAAGTGAGAGCTGGCTTGGGCCGACTGATTGGCACACAATCCTGCCCACACAGGTAAGATGTTGTGGTTCAAAAATGTATTGCCTTGGCCCCAAAGCCAATCACTGGAAGCAAGGGGCGGGGGATTACTCTCCCTGCTAGGTTGGTAGGATAAGGGATAAAATATACAGAGAGGGTGATCCAATCCGGTTTGAGCTAGTTCTAGTACTGGTCGGACGTTAATGTGGAGTTACAGACGACTCTGAAGGTGTATGCTGAGGTGTATACAGCTGACCCACATTTCATTTAGTTTCCCAAACGGTGAAAAGGCTGCGTTGTTCTTTTTTATTTATATACATCTGTCCTACAACCTCAGCAACAATGGGAAGGAAAACTAAAGTAAGTTCAAACATGTACATTGTGTGACATGTAATATATATACCGTATAATTTAGCTTTTTTTTATGAATGCATTTCCTTTTTAGCAAACTAATGTTTTTCACAGTGCATGCGCTTTAATGTAACGTTGTAAGGATTCGCGACACCATGTGCATGCATGAGGTCTGCCTTTGCTGTGGTCACGTCTGTCGTGTCGACGCTGTTGATACAGGGAAGTGGCGCCTTTTTACTTAGTGCAGTGCAACGTGCTTCTTCGTCGTCTCCTCGAAAGCGACTACACTTGGCGGTACATTTGCAAAATAAAAAACTAATCTGGCTGTAAATTATATGTTGTCTTCACTGTGTACTGACATCAAACAAAGGGGTGCAACCACCGTCGATGAACAGGTTGCCATTTCAAGGAAATGTCTTCCGTAGTTTCCTCTGGCTGTAACTTAAACGTGGGCTGTATGCGTTATTATTTAGGCGGTTATTTGCCCTCGGTACATGTCGAGGTGTTGTTTTAGTATTTACAGCCCACGCTGTTTTTTTTACTCCTTTCACATAGAGTACTGTAAAAGCTGCTGCGCGTCACCATTCGAGGTGTCTTTTTCTTTTCTGAGTGTCATGGCAGCTGAAATATCCTCGAAAAGACAGCGACACATCTGGTGGCTTTTTTTAAACCAAAGCCCTTTATTATCGTCGTGTCGGATACGTTTTATTGAAGGTTTGGTCGTTTGTGTAACATAACGCTTCCATACATCAATTCAATGGATCCGCTATCCATTGAATTGATGCATGGCAGCGCGTGTGGAGGTAGAGGAAGGGGGCTCTTCTTCTTCTCTTACCTATAAAGTAGCTACAGACCACCATGCTTACTTAACAAAAACATGTCGATCTCAACGAATGATGCTGTGCTTGGCGGGAAGAAACCAAGAAGTGGCTAAATATCCAAGTTAGAAAACGTGTTGTTGCTCCCCTCCCCACTTTAAGGTTGCATAATGTCTTTGTGACTAGGGGGAGGGATAGGTGCCCATCCCCCCCCATGCGTTACACGCCCACATTAGCTCCGTCATGAATGGCTGTTGTTCATGTTTTTTAAATTTCCTTCTCCTTCTCTTTCTTTCAGACTACCAGCTCCGAAGCAAGCGACGAGGTTAGTATCCGAGTAATAACTCACAAAACTGGCCGTGGCCCCCCCACTTGCACCCAAATGAACATTTTGTTCTAGTTTCTGTCAAGACAAAGAGACCGTCTTTGTTGGTACTGGATGGCTTTTGATGCGACCTAGTGCAACACAGTTTCAATCATGCAAGCAAGAAACTCGGGTTCAAAGGATGACAATGTCAATTAGTCTGTTTTAATGTACATGTTATATTCCAAACCTGGTCAGCCTATTGGGTTCAAGGAGCTGCACAGCCTCTAGGGGCGCTGGTTATTCTGGAGCACCCAATTGATCTGCCACTTGGAGTGCCCAGATGCTTAGTGGAAATTGCTCCTGTGTGTGTGTGACTATGGATCCAATGTGAATTTTTGCCTTGTGGGGGCACAAGGCAAAAATTCACATTGGATTCATAGTATTTTGCTACAAAATCCCTCATTGCAATATTTCACATTTGCCCCCAAGACGCCAGTAGACAGTTATATATTATTACTGGTGATTTCTCACCATCTGAAATGTCAGACAGCCATTCACTGTAGAGAGCCTCTTATGTATGCATGAAGCTAATTTGGCAAATAATACAATTTTGATTTACATGTGCTAGTATTTACATTTTTACGAGGACAAAACTTGAGTTGGAGGGATTATTAAACTAAATTTATTCCCCCACATTCTCTGTCCTCATGTGTCATAACTTCCCTCCTGTGCACATTGAGAAACATTAGTTTCATCAAACATTTTGTAACAGGATGTGTATATTATGTATTAATACTTTCAAATGACTGAACTATTGTGTTTTTATATGTTCTTCAGCAGCCACAGAGAAAATCTTTACGGTTGTCAGGGGTAAGTTCTACAAAGACTGTTCAATAATAACTGTGCATATTCTACTGTTAATATGCTTATTTCGTTGGCGTAATATGTAAATAATTGTATGGCGTGTTTGTGTTACAGAAGGCACAGCCAGAAGCTTTGCCAGAAAAGAAAAAGGTAAAAAAGAGATTTTTATTTAGTGGACAAGAGCACTGTATCCATTTAAAATAGTTTATATCTGTGTTGCGAGCATTTGACCATGCGTTTTACACTGCCTGCTTGGTTGTTGACATGGTAGGTGGCTCCCAAGATCAAAAAAGCAGCCAAACCAGCAGCAAAGGCCAAGGCTGCCGAGGAGAAGAAAGACGAACCCGAGGTTGAGAAAGAAGAGACTCCTGCAGAAAACGGCGAGGGAAAAGCTGAGGAGGTATTACACGCTTTTGTGTCTTCATGACTCTTGCCATGTGAAATCTGCACCGCAGCAATATTCCAAGAGAACCGAAATAATAAAGCAACGTTTTCTCCATCCTTCAGAAGGCTGCAGCAGCAGATGACGCAGAGGACAAAGCTGATGATGAGGATGAGGAAGAGGAAGAAGACGACAAAGAAGCAGAGTAGTTGTGACACCCCAAGACTCACTTGCCAGGACTCCCTGTACCTCGTTTCTTGTACAATGCAGAGAATATTTTTATCTACTATTTTCATACGACAGTAATGTTTTTAGGCACTCGATTGCAGAAATGCATTTTTAAAAATACTACAAATTCCACTCAGTTTCATGGCCTCTCGGTCATCATGTTGGTTTTTTTTTCCTTTTGTTTCTCTGGCTTCTTACTTTGCCTTGTTTAGGTCGTAGTATTCTGCATGACATGAAGTTGTGCCTATATCAGGAATTAAATGTTCAACTTCGGGGGAGTTTACCTGAGACATTCCCGAGACGTCTTGAGGGATTTTTGTAACCTGTACTGTTTTGGAATCTAATGCATCGTAATACTATGTGTTTGATAGGGAATAGGATGTTTGAGAGTTGTGAGCTATGCTAAGAAATTCTTGTTCACAATGTTCACTTTAATCCCGTTCACTAGTACTGGACATGTTTTTGATTTTATATGCTGTCAGTGATGGTACATTTGAGGATGGTTAGACTAATCCGTACTCTCTGTGCTCAAAACAAATTGCCAGACAGAGCTCATTACTCTTGTCATGGTTTGTCCTTTTTTTTTTTTTTTTTTTTTTTTTTTTTTTTAAATTACTGTATTTTCACCTCAGTCTACAAAAATGTATCCCACATATTTGAGGGTGTATACATTGCGGTTTTGGGATTTCTCTTCCAATGTACAGTTTCCTCGGTTTTTAAAAAATGAAGAAAAAAAATAAAAAATGTTTTGTTTATGAATATAAAATGCCAATTAAAATGGGAATTCCTCTGAAGTGTGTTACTCATCGATTATGTATTTAATTACATCCTGTGTCCAGTGATTGAGGAAAAGTACTATTGCAGATGTGTTTTTGGTACCTGAAATTAGTCATTGTTGCTGTTTACCACCAGTGAGGAAAATAATACAATCTGGGTTCAATTCTAGCTTTGGGGTCATTGTCTTGTTAATATTACACTCTGTCCCCCAAGTTCCAGTCTGGAATGAAAAAATGCTCATGCATAAATGGACACTAAATGTTTCATTTACATTACAGACCCTTTTTTCCAGTATTCTTTATAAGATAATTACTTGATACTGCTGTGAATGAGGTCAATATATGTAGATAAAAAAAAGCTTGGCCATAAACTCAATAGGTGGACCAATTTGAAAATGCCTAATTGGTAATTAATTACATCATACAGTTTTACTGGTCGGTAAAGTTAGAAAAGCGAAGTGAATTGCTAGTTAACAAATAGCATGGGGTTTTACTTATGTAGTTTCCAAAATAAGGTGTTAAATGAATGTTATAATGCAGTGATATCGCACAGTATAAACCATTCTGAAAAATGTTAGCATCATTAAAGCCAGGAATTTGGGGGAAAGTATGTTGCATAAAACCTTGTTCAGCATCAATAGCATGGCTGAAATGAATGTGTGTGGGGCGCCATATAAAATGTGTTCAGCTTGGTCCCGAGGAACCTTCCACTATATATTGTGCACGGTATTTCTTTGCTTGATTAAATACATTTAAAATTACTTAATTTAAGAGTATGCATCATGTAAGTAAATGATATACCTACGTGCTCTGGGGCAGGTTGACCTGCAGGATATCTGATAACCAGTGGTAGAAGAAGTATTCAGCAAACCTGCAGTCTAAAAAATACTCTATTAAAAGTACAAGTACTCATTTTATATTACTGGATTATTGATGCATTAGTCTATATCACTTAAATATTACATCTGGTAAAGTTGGGGTTAATTTTACTTTGTTTATATAGTGCAAGGTGGCTTAATGTAAAAATATACAGCAGGATTCTTTAGTTGTTTTACATGTATTAATAATGTGAATCTACAGAGTACCTACAAAAGCGATTAAATAAATGTTGTAGATTAGAACTATAAAGTAGCATTAAAAAGGTAATCAAGTAAAGTACAAGTACCTCAACATTGTACTTTTAACTTAACTTGAGTATATACTTATATTGCATGGACTTATATTGCAGGATTTATGCACTATAAACTCACGTGTTATTATTGTGCCTTTCGCCCATTAAGGACTGGTTTGATGATTTAAATCAATCAATAAATTGGTACAGCAAATTGGCAGACATTGCGTATGACGTCATGTGCAGAGCTCGCGATCCTGGTATAAAAAAAATTTAAAAAAAGTGGCGGCCGTTCGATCTCGGCGCTGTGTGTGATTAAAAAATATATATATATATTTTTTAAATTTAATTAAATTTATCAATACTTATGAAAGACTTCCATAAAATAGTGCTAATGTTGCTAGCCGTCGGGCTAACGTACACGTTCGTCTTTTGTTGAGCGCACTCCTCCCCACCCCCTTGTTCCTGTGTGTTACTCCGCTGTGGCGGAAGTAAGTCGTATCGCTAGGGCCTCATCCTTCCAATGGCGACTGCAAACAGGCTGAATAGAAAGCGGGAGCAACCGTGGAGGGGGGTCAGAGCTGTGTAACCGAAATTAAATAAATATATATCCTATTCTCTGTAGTCACAAAGTTAAGCCTTGCAAAATTGTTCCACCTCTCCAAAATCACGGCCGATTCAATGGCCAAAAATCGGAACATTTCGCTCCTTGAGTCGGGTAAGCCGCAGAAGTAAAAAACCCAACTGATAGCTTGATTTACATACGATATCGCTCGCGCTAATTGACATCCTAACTGCTGTTTTTTCTCACGCTTTAATGTCTCCGCTGTTTCAATTTCAGAGCTCTATTACTTGATTTCTCGTTTTCTAACAACGGGTCCGTGTCGGAGAGCGGCTGAGGTGAGCTTGGTGGTGCTTTTGACTAGTACCAGTGTGTAGTATTTCAAAAGAGTTTGACTAGCTAGTTTATAATGAAGTTAATAGAATCTAATCGGTATCTCTTTTAATCCTACTGCAGGTCCTCGCGAGCGAACTAGAGGAGTATCAGGTGTGTATCCTCTGCTGCTGCTGGTTAACGGCTAACGTTCGCTAACCGTCGGTTTTGGACTTGAGTTGCATGAAACTTGTCCACTTCTTTTTTTTCTTTTTTTTTTTTTAATACTTCTGGACGTCTCACTCGTTTGACATCACCCGGCTTTTTTGTATTAGCTAGCTGTGTACATGGTGCTTTTCTGTGGTGACTCCGCTTTTACCCCAAAACTTGTGTTTTCGACAGCTCTTACCCGGCAGATTGGACTGGCTGGGAAACGAGCACCCGAGAACATATGAAGATTTGGTGAGATTAAATTTAATATATGTGTTATTAAAGCTCATTGTCTCATTGTTTTTGTCTTGTGACAGACGGGACTCGGTGTCCATGCTTCTTGTTTACGGTCTTTGTTCTTTTTCCTTGCTACTACTGTTGGATTATCTGGAGGTGGGACGGTCGACGTGGTCGCAAGTCGTTCCCACTGTCTTAATTCGTCGGTGTGAACTGTATGGTCGCTCAGAAAACTGTATTTGGATAGAGAGAGGGTTTAATATTATTTAGCCCCGACTGTTGTACCGCAGAAAGGGTGGGTAGTTCGGCTTCTTTGCAACGTCGAGACGGCTCCGCTGGCCAATCGGAGACCGAGATGCGCTGTCTCTGCGTTATTTAGCTGGTGACCTGCGCTGTGATTGGTCATTAAAAAGAGAAGCCACGCCTCTCGGGATATGAGCTGAGAAGCACATGAAACCACCAACTATACCCTGTCCCACATTTATTCTGACTAAACTGTTACAGTCTGTTACAGGCTACAGTCCCTGGAATATTACACACAACTAAAGACCACACAATGTCATGAATATAGTAGAAGTTAAATAGACAGTCTCAAATCAAGATGGGTTTCTTGGTTGCTAGTTTTCATATGAAACAAACTTAACCAGACTGATCAGTACAGAATCCTACATTACATACAATTCTACAAAAACTAACATCTGCGTTAGGACAGCCAACAAACATTGTCATTATTGATACAGCTGTTGTTCCGATTGTTTACAAACAACACAACAGAAAGTAGTGAGATATGTCGATCACAAGTTCTGACATCCGCAGGTGACTACTTAAAATTACTTGAATTTACCGGTTGTTATTTATTGGTTGTTTGACATTTTAGTGACCTAATTGATTGTCAAAATTGTTGCTTATTCGAACAATTGTTGTCTTCTGTGTTTGGTCACTACTCATGTCACTACTCTGTGTTTTTGTGACCCGTCAGGTTGCAGCCAACAGACATATTGCACCTGACCATTTGCTACAGATATGTAAGCAGATTGGACCCATTCTTGACAAAGACGTGCCATCATGTGTCCCAGGTGTACACTCTCTCCTGGGGTCTGGAAAGCAGTCGATGCTGAGGACAGCAAAAGGTACATCTCTTCAAGTATTTCTGCAAAATGTATAAATAGATTTTTTTTCCCCCTTATCCATGTATTGGTGATTTTACGTGCCTCGTACACTGACACACTATTTGATTTGTTTGTCAGACTGCGACGGTGTGCGGTTCAATGCTTCATCATATGCAGCCCTTCACCGGGGCAGACCCCCGGAGAAGCCTTTCAACTGCAAGAAACCTCCACACCTAGGTACGTCTGGCCTCGCTCAATAAGCATCAAAATACATGAAATAGACAAATGGATATGCTGGACATTGGTACATGTACTTGCTCCCGTCTCCCCATTAACCCTGCATGTTATGTATGTATGTATGTATGTATGTTATGTGTACTGTATACATACTGTGTATTCCTCTTTACCCTGACCGTAGAATTTTGGGTAGAAGGCATTTCGTTAGGCTATTGTTGTCAAATAACAATTTGGTGCTTTGCCACGACTTCGCCAGATTGTTCGCCTTGATGCAGTCTGTTACCCCGCAGTGCTAGTCGCTATTAACATGACAATTGTCTTGATCATAAGTCATCATTTCATCTACAGATTTGCAAGGAATCATTGGTGTGTTTTTAATGCTTTACTCCCTCGATTCCCATTTGCTGTGACAGTTATCTACTACAAGAAATGCTGTTGAAGTTATTAAACTGTTGATTAAGCCACCTTTAAGAGGACATGCTCTCCAAAAAAGGCCTCGTAAAATGCTTAAAACAGCTTCATGTTGAGGCGGTGAGAACTTGAAGCAGATGAGAACAGTACGGACCAGATGCATCAGACTTCAGCAGTGATATTGTTGTTTTTTTTTAGAGATGGGGATGGCAGTTTTGTTTCATGCAGTTGATGTAACCCGGGTTCGATTCCAATCCATGACCCTCTGCTGCTTGTCATACCATCTGTCTCTCTCCCTGTTCTCCTGATGTTGTCCTGTTGCTCTAAAGAGGCAATAAATAAAAAATATTCTTTAAACTTAAAAAGGTTTATTGGAAGACAATCCATTTACATGCTTGGTTCAAGCCCAACAATAACAGCTTCTTATATTTAATTTCACCCTGTGACGGTGCCCTTCCACTCCTGATCATATTAGAATAAATGTATCCCATGCCCACATATTTGTGTTAATCCCAGTCTTGTTTCGTCACTGTTTTCTGATGATTGGCGTCTTTTAATCCACAGTGAAGGTCCATCGAGGGAGAGAGCTGACGGGAGCGCAGCGCTTCAGCTCCGTCAACCCCGTCAGCAACTATGAGCACATGCGGCTGCACAGGCGGATCCTGGGGCATCTGTCTGCAGTGTATTGTATCGCATTTGATCGCACCGGTCTCAGGATCTTCACAGTAAGATGGAGCTTGTCAACATATCGCCCTATTTAGAAATATTCCTCTACTTAATGTGCGGGGATAACCGTGTCCAGTAGAATATTAAAGTAGAAGTTGGTATTTGTCTTTGTCAGGGCTCAGATGACTGTTTGGTGAAGATCTGGTCTTCGTTTGACGGAAGGCTTCATTCGACGTTACGAGGACACTCTGCAGAGATCACAGACTTGGCGGTTAATTACGAGAACACACTGATTGCTGCGGGAAGCTGTGACAAGTCCATCCGTGTGTGGTGCCTTCGTACCTGTGCCCCTGTGGCTGTGCTGCAGGGGCACAGTGGATCCATTACCTCCCTACAGGTAAATGGATCTCTGTCAGGGAAAAAGGATCCCTTTTCTATACGAACTTGATTTTATCATCTGAATTAGTTATTATATTTAAAAATAATTGTATTTATTGGACCATACATTTGTGATGCGCTTTAAAGATTGGGTAACAGTAACTGTTTTTTTAATAATGCCTAAAATAAAACAACAACAAGAAGAGGAGGTGGTAGCAGGACTGGCAAAGATATGTTTCCGTCAGCCTTTCATTCAATCTTGTCTTCATCGCGATGACAACTTTCCTCAGCCAAGTGTAAAGTCTTTACTGCAAGTGGATAAAAACATACTTCCTGTTACCATTGTTGTCTGTGGTCTGGTCACGGGGCGTGTTAATATTTAACCCTCCATGTAGGATCCATGTCTTTATTTTAATAAAATGTGAGTGGTTTCAGATGGCTCACCTGTGAATGTCTTGTGTTCTCAGTTCTCACCGTTTGCCAAGGGCTCCAAACGCTTCATGCTGTCCACTGGAACTGATGCCACCGTCTGCTTCTGGCAGTGGGACGTCAACAACATCAACTTCAGGTGAGAGCTGCTTTAAATGGGATTTAAAATGGTGACTTAGTGATATTCAGTTGTAGTAATTAAGAAAATAAACACCTGTGAGAAACATACACATCTGCACAAATAAATGGTCAATTCATTTTGATTTAAAGTGTTTTGCTCTTTTTAAACTAGCAAAGATTGAGAATGGTGTTTTATGGATACATAAAGGAAACATTGACATTGCTGAGCAAACAGTTTAACATGGTAAACTGCAGGCTGTTGGATGTATATAGTAGTTGGATATGACGGTTCTTTTCATGGATATCAGCAGTAGACATGTAGCAAACATTGGAAGACAAGTCAAATTGGGATGACAGTCTTTGTGTCCCAACACTGGCTACTATATTAGTAAAATAAGTGCATTCAAAGAGCCTGCTTTACTTTGACTTTCCATCATTTAGTTGTATAGCAAGCAATCAGGTAAAAGTATAAAACACATAGAATATTGACTTGAACTAAATGGGTTTTAAGTAATCTTCAATTCCCTCAAAGTGTGTTAATGAGTCTCACCTGACGAAGGAATGTGAGATCAGCACCTTACCCGACTGTTGATTACATCAGTCATATTGAAGTGGAAATGCCGGTTAGATTGGATGAAACTTGCAATTACTTCTTTGTTTAAAGATATGCCAACAAGTCAATACTAGATGTAAAGGTGAGCACTGGTGCTAGGTCTGTAAATGAATTAAACTGCTGGCTGCCAGTAGTCATGTGTAGGACAAGACGATTCTTTAAATCCTTCTAAATATCCCCTGCAACCAAATATTGTGTATTTTATTGTGCACGTTATTCAGTTAAATGCACTTTTCCTGTTCTGAATAAAATCAGTAAAACATTTTCTTTCTATCTTTTCAAGCGATCGGCCACACAAATTCATAGAGCGGCCGAGACCCGGAGTTCAGACTGTGTGCTCCTCATTCAGTCCAGGTATTAGTCACTTTAGGTAGACGCTTATGTTGAATGTTTGTACTGTTTATGTTTAATTAACCTGTGTCTATGCTACAGTTCACAGAATGATCATCTAGCTAGCACATATTTATGACAGACAAACTTTTATTTTTTCAGGTGGGATGTTCTTAGCAACAGGAAGTACTGATGACGTCATCCGAATATATTACTTGGGTGGCGGAAGTCCAGAAAAGATATCTGAGCTCCACGAGCACACGGTAAGAACAAAACATAAAGCTTCAGCTGTAGTATCTAGCTTAAGTTATTAAACAGTCCACAGTCACTCATGAGTACTATTCTGCTCTCCGCTCAGGATAAAGTCGATAGCATCCAATTTTGCCACTCGGGTGAAAGGTACAGTAGAATCCTTGTACTTAACTCGCCATTGTTTTGTGTTTAATAGTAGATATACTGAATGAAATGTAACAGTGTGTGAAGTGATGGTTCACGGTTTGGTGTCGTCCTGTCTCAGGTTTGTGAGCGGAAGCCGAGACGGAACAGCACGGATCTGGAAGCTCCATCTGCGTCAGCAGTGGAGGTGCCTCCTGCTCAACATGTCCGCCACTCTCCCCGGGTAAGCAGCACTGTGCTGTCGTACAGCAGCGCTTATTCTGAGTGTAGATTCCTTTTGATGTGTCCTCAATATTTGTGTCTCTCAAGAAGAAATAGTGAGACAAGGACGCACACTTTTATAAGCATCAGGAGAAGAGTCTCTGTAGAGAAGTATTTGGAAGATTTGCTTTGTTAGGCACAATCTTTTGCTCCATTGGTCGCCTCAGAGAGCTGTTGGAGCGTGTACAAGTAAACCAGCTGCTGATGTAAGCTGAGGAATTCTTTTTCCCAATGTTTTATTTATGCGCTTGTCAGATTGTATTAGCCTTAGCACAGCCTTCTCGCCTGTCTGTAAAGCAGTGGTTAACAGATTGTGAAGACATTTCTTCCCGCTATGGTCTGAATGACGTCATTATTCTGATAGCTGAACATCTTTGCCTGCTGATGTAAATGATTTTTTAAAATACTACATTTGTTGCCCAATTTGAACCTTGTTTCTGAATTGTAGGTTAATGAAGGCGTTAATGACGCCCGCTGAAAGATGAAACTAACTAAATACGTTTAATCTGAGGAGGGTGAAAACATTGAGTTGGTGCTCCCTGTTGTCATGCTTTGCCTGCTGATGTAAAGCCATCAAACAAAGCCGAGCGGCATAAAGTCACCCAACAGCAATGTGAAGGACGCATGAAAGCTGTGATTGTAAATCAAGGTTATTCCACCAAATATGGATTTCTGAACTCTTCCTTTGCATTATTCGAGATCTGAAAACACTGCATCTTTTTTGTTATTTTGACCAGTTGTCATTTTCTGCAAATAAATGCTCTAAATTACTATATTTATTTTAAATTTGGGAGAAATATTGTCGGTAGTTTAAAGAATAAAGGAGATGGATCTTACGGGATGTCAAGCACCTTCTAGTTGTTGCTAAACAGTTGGAGCCTGAACTACACCATATCTGCGACATGAGGACAGGCTACACAAAAAAACAAGAAGCAATGTCAAGCAGAAGGAGTGAGAGTCATGGGGAGAGACTGAATCTCCTGGAGGACGAGAACCAGTTTCAACATGTGGAATGAGGCCGCAACGGGAGGGAGGGAGAGAAAGAGAAAACCAAGGGGAAATGAATGGACAACTTCATTTTTATAGCATCAAATACAAGCAACTCATTTTTTTTATTCTCATTTGTGTTCAGTATTGAATCAACTGTATCTCCATTACATAGTATGCTTTGATAGTTGCATCATGTAGTGTGTGTGTGTAATATCTAATTAGATTTTTTTCTCTCTCAGTGTTGAACCAATGAGTGAAGAGGAAAGCTACTTCAAACCCAAAGTCACCATGGTAGCGTGGGATCGCCACGATATTACAGTCATCACGGCTGTGAACAACCATCTCCTCAAAGTGTGGAACTCCTACACAGGACAGCTGCTACATATCCTTAAAGTTCGTGTTTCTCCTTGTAAAATATAGAGCAACGTGGATATCACAACCACCTAATTTAACCTTATTTTCAGACCAGAGAGACTAACTTGAACATTGTTTTCAGGGCCATGAGGCTGAGGTGTTTGTCCTAGAGCCGCACCCTTTTGACCCCAGGATCATCCTGTCTGCCGGCCATGACGGGAACGTCTTCATCTGGGATCTGCTGCGAGGGACGAACACACAGCACTACTTCAACATGGTACACTGAGCACTATCAGGCATTTACATGATGGTCAACACAACAGTTCTGTAACACGATGAACAGACAGTTACAGACCCACCATAACACACAACATGACAAAGACGGCAATAAGCAAACCAGTAATAAAACAGACCTAGTTCAATGTTTGTCATCAGTTTACCTCGGTCTCACAGTTTGCCATCAAGGGTTTTTCATCCTCTAACTCTCATTGTTCCTTTCCTTTCCATTTCTGTGCTGTACGACGAGTTTGACTGCCTTATTATTGTGCATTTTTGGTTTTCTCTCCAAAAAGTGTGTTTTAAGAAAAACGTAAGGTCCTGCAGGATCTGAAAAGGAAAAAAAAGCAGGCAAGAAAGTTGGTTTCCCTCGCTAATGGGTTTCTGTACCTGGGGTGGTTTTGTGTTTGTCTTCCAGATTGAGGGCCAGGGTCATGGAGCCGTTTTTGACTGCAAATTTACCCCTGATGGGCATCGTTTTGCTTGCACAGACTCCCATGGCCACCTGCTCATCTTTGGCTTCGGCAGTTCCAAGCCGTATGAGAAGGCAAGGATACCACTCGTTTAAATGTTCACACAAACAATTGTCGTCTGATGAAATCTGTTGTAATGCTGTTTTTAGGGATACTTGTTTTCACTTGATAAATACACTACAGCATTTTCCAGATGTTGTTATAGCCCTTCAAATTTAACACTTTCAAATCTTACTGTATAGTATAAAAATCTGACATTGGACGTCTCAAAATAAGTGTCCAAGAAAACATGAACATAACAAAAACCTTAAACTTCCTCTTTCTCCTGGTCGTCACACAGCTTCCAGACCAGGTGTTCTTCCACACGGACTACCGACCGCTGATCCGGGACACCAACGGCTTCGTGCTGGATGAACAGACGCAGCAGGCACCCCATCTCATGCCCCCGCCTTTCTTGGTGGATGTGGATGGAAACCCCCATCCACCAAGGTAGACATGATGACCTTCTATCAGTTACACACCAGTTATTACCTGTGGGATCAGTTGTTTGAATGTTTGTCTCATGCAAATTCTCGATGCCCGAGGCCATTATGAAAAGCAATACTAAGCCGGGTTCAAAATGTTGGCACAAATATTTGTGTTCTATGTAAATGCATGCAATGTTTTTAACAGTTCACATTTTTTTAAATGTCTTGACTTGATTTTCAGGTACCAGCGCCTCGTCCCGGGCCGGGAGAACATTGCTGCTGAACACCTGGTTCCTCAGCTGGGATACGTAGCCACCAGTAAGCAACCAGCCAGAAGCACGCCTTAAATTCACTATAATTAGCTAGTTTACAAAAACATAAATTCACTTTTTGATATATACAGTAAGTGACAAATCTCGATTTAAGAACATCTGAACCATATCTTTGATGTCTTCAGTGTTTGACCAGCGTTGACCTCTGCTACCATCCCACACATGCTCTCTGTTTCCCTGTTTGATGGCGTCTTCAGGTGATGGCGAGGTCGTGGAGCAGGTGATCAGCCAGCAGACTGCAGAGCACGACGAAGTTGCGATAAGACGCAGCAGCCTTCTGGACGAGGCCATCCGAAATCTCCAGCAACAACAAGACCGGCATAGCCAGCTTGGGACAGAGTTGGCTCTGCCGGCGATACCAGAAGGGCCAGCTGAGGCACAGGGCCACGCCTTGGCACCGAGCACGCCACGTAGAGGTATCGATGCGCCACCCGTGTTTTATCGGATATTGATCTTGTGAGCTGTTGGATGCTAGGTATGTGATCCTTCGTTGCAGTGTCTGTGAATGATCGAGCAGACGTGCAGTCACCCCCCAATGTGGGTCTGCGCCGCAGCGGACAGGTGGAGGGCGTCCGGCAGATGCACCAGAATGCTCCTCGCAGCCAGATGGCCACAGAGAGAGACCTGCAGGCTTGGAGGCGCAGGGTGGTGGTGCCCGAAGTGGCACCCAGCAGCTACAGGTACCAGAGATAGCAATGTTAGCTTCACCGTCAACAGCTGGCGCGTGTGACTGGCAATGTCTGTACTGTTGTGGTGTTTTGTATTAGTTTATGTTTCTAAGTGGAAATGGATACTTCTCCCATTTTAGATAACATCAATATTTTAATAATACTCAAAAGAATTCAACACAAACATCCATGTCAAACGTACCCATCAAGCAACAGAGAGTGGTTTACAAACCTCATGAGATTTTACAGCGTTTATTTTACATGACATTTTGTGTTTGTTCTACTTAAGTTTCATACATCGTGGATTTTGTTTTTTTAGGATCCAGGAGCGCCTGCGAGCAGCCAGAGGAGATGAGGAGATGGTTCTGTATAATGCAAAGAAGAGACGCATTATCTACAGCAGCTGTCGAGTAGGTTTCAATGTAGGAAGTCTTCAATGGCAATTTGAAACTATGGCTTGTGTACCCGTGTATTGTGAGTAATTATCACAGTCTGTACTGTAATTGGCAGGAAAACGGCATATTCATTAAATGTGTTGTGTTGGAATGTGTCATTCATATATACTGTGTCGATAAAATGTATCGTCACTATGCTTCTGTAGGATTGTTAATTTATTTATATATATTGAGATAATTGTCAGCATTTTTTCCCTCTGTTCACAACTTATTTCTGTAAGAATCTTTGCACTGGTTTTGAGTCGGCCCGTCTGTCCTCTCAGGATGATTCAGATGATGATCCTCACACAGCGAAGCGAGCACACGGCCGCAGTGACGCGCTGGAATACATGGACTTGTCCTGCGAAGAGGGAGAGGAGACCGCAAGTTCAGAGGTACACACCGAGCTATCGCTTTCTCCGCTCTCCTGTGACATTACGGGGGAAAAAAATGTCATTTACCTGTGGTCTTTTTTGGGGGGAGTTCACGCAACTTCCAGTTTTTCATTATTGAATCTGTTCAGGACAATGAATTGGACGGCAGTGAAATGAATTCCTCCAATGATGAGGAGTGGAACAGTGACAGCTCAAGGTATAACGTTTTATAGACTTAGAATTTGTTTTAACTTGTTTAGAGTGCCAGATAAAAGGGTTTTCCTGAATCACAAGAATGATCATATAGACAGAAGAGTTTTGTCTTTCACGTTAAAATCTTGTATTACTCCTTTGTGTTGTCTTAGGTGGCAATCCCCACCCATCTGGTACCCCAAGCAGGTTAAAACAAATAATTTAACTACGTTTTTCTGCCTGTTTTCATATATGTAATTTAGAATTATAATCGTAACTGCTTTTGATTTGACAGCCACACGTCCAGCGAGTACTCGGACTGGACAGCAGACGCCGGCATCAACCTGCAGCCCTCCACCCCCTTGTCCTCACGGAAACGAGTGCAGCGCAGGCTCAGCAGCTCTGAAGAGGAGGAGGAAGAGAATGATAATGAGGAGGAGGAGGAGAAGCAGCAGCAGAGTGACGAGGAGGAAAAAGCTGGCAAGAAAAGCAAAGAGAAGTCCAAGAAAGAAAAGTACAAGTCGCCCAGGGTGAGTTATTGAACACAGCGCAGTATACGCAGTCGCCAACCGAATGTCTCGCTGTCTGAATCCTAACCGGTTGACTGTTGCCCGGACTCTGTGTCTGTCAGGGAGGAAATATAATGATGAATTTAAAACAGGCTCATATTTACCCTTGTTTTACATCTTCAGCGTCCAAAGGTCCGACTGTCCATCAACAGAGAAGTGTCCAATGAGTTCAGACCCTCACCGTGGATCACCGACGTCATTCCCAGGAAGTCTCCTTTTGTTCCCCAAATGGGCGATGAGGTATTTAAACAAGGCAATTTACAAGAGCATGAGGAAAAAAGCACTCAGTACAGTACAGATTGTTCTTTAATAAACAGCAGCTGTGTTGATCTTTTGGTGGTTTAACAGGACGTCATGATCACAATCCTGTTTCTCATCTTGTAAAAAAGTTTACTGTCTAAGCTCTGACTCTCTTGTCTCGTCAGGTGATCTACTTTCGGCAGGGACACGAGGCCTACGTAGAGGCAGTGAACCGAAATGAACTGTACCCCATAAACCTAGACAAACAGCCCTGGAAGAAAATGGAGCTACGGGTAAGACTACGGCAAATAAGAAGATAATAAAAATGTTCTTGGTAGAATACACAGAACTCTGAAGAACATCATGTACAAAATCTTCACGGATGTCATAACAAAAAAAACTTTCTTTTTTTTGTTATTTAAATGTAGGCACACCCCCCCCCCCCCGCCCTCCCAGCATGTACCCAATATATTGTTTGTTTTTCAAATGTGTTCTAGGACCAAGAGTTTGTGAAGATCACCGGGATCAAATACGAAGTCTGCCCTCCAACCCTTTGCTGCCTGAAGCTGACTCTTATTGACCACGGCACCGGCAAAATATCAGACAAGTCCTTTTCTGTCAAGTAAGCAGTATCCCAACGTGAAGGCGGCATTTAAACTGAATGTATATAACATGGAGGTTATGATTCTAAAATGTGTTCTAGTGAAAGCCTACATTTTGGTTGTGGGTTAGTGTCATGATCAGGACAAAACTTTGAGGATAAAAATCAGTTTTTGGCTCGACATGTTGGCTGTAATGCGTTTGTTCAAATCAATATAATTCAGCTTCAGCTCCACAAAGACAAAGTCTTGAAAGTTTATTGCAGTGTTCTCAGAGTGGGGTCCGGGCACTCTGCCAGGGGGTTCATGAAAAGTTTTCAGATTCATTCATTTAAATTTATTTCTACATCACATCTAGAATCTTATCTATTAGAATCTGCAAATATGTTTAATAGTATCATCAAAGGACGTCATGTAATTAGAAATTATCCACCACGTCTGCGTTTTATGCAGCATATTTGCACGGGATGAGCAAAGTCTGTATTTACTGACGTTATTCCTCCGATATGATATCAGGGCTCTGTGTAACACCCAAAAACGCCAATCCAAATCCCAAAATTATGGTCGGTACATAACAAATTAACTACATGGCAGATTTAAACAGGATTAAGATCGAAGACGACATTCGCAATTATTCAAAATGACTAGAGGTCCCAGGTAATTCTGGTCCTGTGCGAATAGGGGTAAAGACCAAATTATTGAGGTCCTAGGTAAATTCTCTATCTTGTAAGGGATCCTCAGCTGAAAAACAACTTGAGAACCTCTGGTTCTCAAGTTGGCTCTGACTACTGGCTCTGACTACTTCGGCATTAAAGTGACGTATATTTCTCCCACAGGTATCACGACATGCCAGATGTGATCGATTTCCTCGTGTTGAGGCAAAGTTATGACGAGGCACTCCGTAGAAACTGGCAACCAAGTAAGTCTGTGCATTGTGTTAAAGAAGTTGAATCTTAGTTTTGAGGCCAAGTAGCATCGTCTTCGTATCGGTTTCATCAATTTCAAATATAGAAGAAAGGTGCTACCAAGTAGTTTATAACTTTGTCTACATTTCAGACTAATAAATACTGTCTACTCTACAGATTATTCTGAGTTTCTGTGTAGATATAGATAATGTGGATTTTTCCTCCTCCTCCTAAATTGGTTCACATCTTCTCTTGTGCAGACGACCGGTTTCGCTCAGTGATAGACGATGCCTGGTGGTTTGGTAGCATTGTGTGTCAGGAGCCATACCAGCCCGAGTACCCCGACAGTCTCTTCCAGTGCTTCAAAGTCAGGTGGGCCAACACACGTTATCGTGATACGGGGAGCTGGAGATATGGTGGTTGTGGCGTCGCCATCATTTCCGAATATCAGCTAGTTTCTAGGACACACTGCTTTTGATATTGTCAGTCTAGGACAAGTCTGTCTGCCCCCTAGTGGTTATTAAGAGGCATGAAGGTGTCATGTCTGTATCATATTAAAGAGTAATTGCACATTTAAACATGCTTTTTTTTAAGCTATAAACTCAATGATACGACTGTACTTAAATGCATCAATGCTGGTCTAAACATACAAATCTACATTTCATGGTAGAAAATGGCTCAAAACGCCATCTGCGCTTTTAAATCAGCTCTCATATTGCAAGGCAAATTCTGGGATGGAGTCGACCGTTTAGGACTAACCTACCTCATGAAATAAAGTAAGTAGGTGTGGTTGCAGTGGGTGGACTATTTAAGGCTCAGACCAGGGGGTGCAATTACACTTTATTCTGAACTAAAACCTAAAAAGGGTATCAGTCAATGTTGTTGGAAGTGTGATGGTTGACTTCGGCAACACTTTTTTGTGTTTTCACCAGATGGGACAACGGGGAAACGGAGAAACTGAGTCCTTGGGATATCGAACCTATTCCAGATGGTGGTAATTCAGACTTTTTACTCGTTTATTTCTGTCACATCCACACACAAACACAGAGCTGATGTCCGCTCACAAAGTGGGGTCAGTGGGGTTAATGCATATTGAATAAGTTCGTCTCTGCCGTGCAGCCCAGCAGCCAGAGACAGAAGGAGGTGGTATCCCCGTGACTGCAGATGAGATGAATGAACTGATGTACAAGCCTCTGCCTGGAGAGTGGGGGGAGAGGAGCAGAGACGCCGAGTGTGAGCGCATCGTCGCCGGCATCGACCAGCTCATCACCGTCGGTGTGTATGCGTGAACACGCTCTCTGTTTGCTCTAAATCGCACACTTCTACTTTCACATGTCTGGTCCCAATTCACTCACGTCAGCGTATCTATAGGTTCCTTTTAACTGCGAAATCATTTCTTCCCATTCGTACTTACCCACCTGCCACTGTGTTTCTGCTATAGAGATTGCAGCTCCCTTCTCTGGTCCTGTGGACTTAGTCCAGTATCCCACCTACTGCACTGTAATCGCCTATCCCACTGACCTGGGCACCATCAGACTGCGACTCAGGAACAGGTTCTACAGGTCAGTCCTCCCTCCAAAGCAACGGGATGGACGTATTTGCCCAGTTGACTGTCGACCCAGCTCTGTCCTTGAAATTCAAATAATTGATGTTTTGTTTGTGAAGACGCTGTGTATTTACTCCCCTCTGGTGATCCACAGGCACCTCTCGGCATTAATTTGGGATGCCAGGTATATTGCACATAACGCCCGCACTTTCAATGAGCCAAGGAGCAAGATTGCCCACTCTGCAAAACTCATCACGAATGTCCTCCAGAAGTTTGTCAAGTAAGTCAAAATTAAGATGATGTAATGATACTGTAATAACATGCACAGTGTCATTCACACTAAATTGACACATTCTTCCTACTTTCCTAGTAATCCCAGCTGCACGGATATCATGGAGATTTACAATGCTGTAGAGGAAATGGATGATGATGATGAGGTGAGTCTGATTCCGTCAGCTTGAGTCATTAGTGTTATATTTTTTTTTTGCTCTAACATGCGCTGCTGTGAAAGTTACAATTGTTTGTTCATAGATGATTTACTAAAAATGGAAAAAAAATCTTTGGGTCACCTTTGCAACTGAAAACGTAATCTGGTTGATAACAATAATGTGGTTACTGCCTACAGGAAGAGGATGCAGAAGCACCAGGAACCTCTTCTGGACACAGACTGCGTCAGGTAAATACACGAGATGGGATAGAATAGATAACAAAGGCCTTTGACATTCTATTGATTAACATTGCTTGTTATTAAATCATCAGTCTGAAACGCATGATTATCTTGGTAGAATTCTGTAGCAGCTGTAGCATTCATTGCACGTCACAATGATTTCCTCTCTTTCTCCTCTATGGCAGCGCTCTGTCGAGGTGGTGCTTGACAGAGACGCCTGGAAGGAGCAGTGCAAGTATCTGCTCACCTACATATTTGACTGCGAGGACTCCGAACCGTTCCGACAGCCTGTGGATCCTCAGAACTATCCAGTGCGTTAACACAACAGACTAAGGGCAAGCGTTCAGCATGTTTTGTGTTCCAGTGTTTTGATGGTCTAAATGGTGTTTTGTTTGCCTGTCCAGGATTACCACAACATCATTGATACACCAATGGACTTTCACACGGTGAAAAGGACTTTGTTCGAAGACCGCTATGAAAACCCTGTAGAGCTTTGCAAAGACACCCGGCTAATATTTGCAAACGCTAAAGCCTACACACCCAATAAACGCTCCAAGGTAAGTGGAAGAAATGCCACGAGAACTGCTCTTTAATGCAGGACATAATCATATAGTTGTAATGTTTGGAGTTCATTTGGTATAATCTTCTTTGGGTCCATCATTTTGTTTGAGCTTATTTTACTGACCTTTTCTGTTCTATTCTAGATTTACAGTATGACTTTGAGGATCTCTGCCTTCTTCGAGGAGCAAATCAGAACAATCATATCAGAGTACAAAACTGCCATCAAAAGCAGCGATAGGCTCCGCCGCAGTCAGAGGTTCCGCAAGAAAATGCAGCAGCAGGATCAGTCCAACGCCTCAAGGTCTGTTTGAGTTATGCATTCCTACAATAATCTGATGGGGAAACAGTTCAGGTGTTCCATGTCTGGTGAAAAGTTGCATTCATTTTTTTTTTTTTTTGTTTTACTCAAGTCAAAAGAAAGCTGCTGTAAAAACTCAGGAAAAAGTGGAGTCGACATCAGTGACCAAATCTACCTCAGCCAAAGTGTCTGTTCCTGAGAGAGCCAGGAGGAGTCGACGCAACAGATCAGGTCACAGCTCCTCGGACGACGACTCCGGCTCCAAAGCTGCTTCGACACCAGGTACAGAAGAGACTCTTAGTAGGTTCCGTAACAGTAGTCTCATCGTTGGTTTCTCTGAACTATTGTCAGCGACGTGGGTGTATGATAAGGAGTAATTCATTCCTCATAACTTTAGTGAAGGCCCAACACCCAACCAGACAAGCCTAAACCAACTTCTCCTCGCGCTCCCTCTTTCTCTCCTCTCCCCTTTCTTAACCTGATAACATCCAGCTGCCTGAACAGCGCAGACTAGTGGCGACATCTGCTCCCAGATCCTCAACTTAACATTACTGGTGACACTGAATATGTGTAAACAAGATGACTGATAGCAATTCACATACAGTACCTGCAAACTTGTCACTTTTCAGTGAAATTCACCGTTTTGAATCAAAATATATCATCCATGTGAATCGTGTAGATCCGTAGAGTTTTTTTGGGGGAGGGGGGGGTCAACTGGCCAGCCAGCGTTTCTCAGATTGGAGTCATACGAGGAGAAAATGTGATGTTCACAATAAAACATCTTTGATATGACGAGTCTTGGCCAATCAGCGTTCAGATATCTACATCTGAACGCTTCATTTCCCTCCGTTGCAGTTTAAGTTACGTTATGTTACGTTACCGTTCAGACTTGCTGGGTTAAGTTAACGTTCGTCATTATCGCGATTTAGGAGGAAAAAAAGTAACGTTATGAAACATGCAGCCTTCCTGTGTTCCGGTTCAGTTCACACGGTCACTCATTAACGTTAAACCGGAACACCGGCGCATCTGCTGGCAGGTTGTTTTTTTTTAACTCAAAGTAGAATGAGGCGATTTCGTGGTCAGAATAACTTTTAAGATAATGAAACATAAGGCCCAGCTACTGATAAGATGATGAGGTCAAAGAGCTTCAGGAAGTGGAGGCTGTCTGTAGCGCAGCTTGACGCAGGGCTGAGCTGTGAGTGGAGCTGGGCCTGGATAAAGGTGGAGGTCTAAACAGACGTGAGTACAGCTTCCTGCTGTCACAGTATTTTAAATGCATTGATAAGGCAGGGTATGCTAAATGCAGCCTCTGCTCCAAGGAGATGAACTACAGCAACAAGGGCTCACGTGCCCTCTCATCACACTGCCAGACATGTTCACTGTAATGACCACAGCCAGTGTACTAACAGTCCCACGTCAAGAACCCTGAAGTAATGAGTGTGTTAAGGTGCCTGTACCTTCATTTCAGCGGGTTGCTAATGCAGAGGTGTATATACGTAGTTCACAGCTATTATTTTACTCTTGATAAGCTACCTTAGCCAGAGTAGATTATCATTTTCATTTAAATAATTTAACTGGATTGAATGCATGTTAATTGCAAATAGAAGATGGGCCACAATTCTAACAGCTTTACAGTAACTGTTAATATGAAGCCATACAGTAACAGGGTTCAATGAAAACGAATCACTTTATTTTGTACAGGCGATGGTTCTTACTACTCTTGCATATCTTTGTTTTTATGACTAAAACTTTTGAAAATGAGACCTCGGTCTCAATTGATTTTATCTAAATAAAGGTTAATAATAATAATATTGATTTTTAAAAAAAAAAAAAAAAAAAAGATGCTAACTAGCCAGCTGTTCAACTAGAGCTGAAATACTGATTAATCACTGATTACTTGTCACCTTTTTCACCTCATGAGTTTGCAGGTATGAATTCAATAACATACAAACTTAACGTTTGCACATGCACAACTATGTCCAAACTTCACTCTTCCGCTTATGAAACTAGTTGGATGTTGTACAGCAAAAACAAATGCAATCATTTGTGAAGTCTGATATTGTAGCTAACGGGTATAGACAAGTAGTGTCATTGTAGGAATCACTTTGACTCTTGACACTTCTGATGGACGTGCTCTTCTTAGTTCTGGTGGTGGAATGAACTCTTAACTGAAGTCAGGACAGCAAAGTCGCTGCACACTTTTCACCAACTCCGTAGTTCAACACGCTTCTAGCAGTTTATTTGGGATGGTTGCATTTCCAATTATCTGGCTCTGGTTCCTTCACTTATTGTAAGTCGCCTTGGACAAAGGCAAAGACAAATAAATGTATAAAATGTATATTTTTAAATGTATTTCAGAGTCTGACAGTGAGAGCGAGCTGAGTGAGGTGGAGAAACGTCGTGGCTCGTCAAGGCACCATCAACTCAGACAGAAAGCAAGAGTTACTAGAAGCAACCGTGCCAAGCAGAGGAAAAAAGGTCAGGAGTCAAATCCAGGTTTCAATCATGCCGCCTGTTAGTGGGGCATTCTTAAGTTGTCTGTTAACTGTGGTTGTTGTTGTTGTTGTTGTTGCAGAGAGCGATAGTGAAGAAGAGGAGGACAGTGAAGGTGAGGATGGAGAGATGTCCTCCCAGTCTTCACGTCGCCGCTACCCCAGCAGGAGTAAGAACAGCAGGAGCGAGACCAGCAGGAGCACACGTCTGACCAGAAACAGTGCTGGTGCAGACAGGAAGAGCACAGGTAAACACTACAACAACCGTCTTAAGCCTCGCTCTTAGTGAACCACAACACACCACCATTAGCCCTCGTGTTAAACATCCCTCCGCATGGCTTGTTTTCAGAGGGCAGAGCAGAGATGAACGGTCACGGCGGCAGATCGTCTCGCAGGGAGAGACGTCGCCACCGGGACTCTGACAGGGAAGAGGAGATCACGGTTCGCAGCTCACTCAAGAGAAAGACGGCGAGGGCGGCTGTGAATAAGATGAAACTCCTTGAAGCATTAGACGAGGAATTTGAGGAGCAGGACGAGGAGGAAAAGCCGAGAAGGAGCAGCAGCCGCCTTCGCCACACAGGCCGGAGCAGCAAACGCACCGCGGTGATCCAGAGCAGCTCAGATTCTGATGAACAGCCATCAAGACGGGGTATACAAAGCTCTTCTTTAAACATTTAAATTCAGAAGAAGTTGCTCTTAGATCTCGTAAATGCAAACAGTCCTTTAAACATGTGTTAAACATATTTGTATTTTATGTTTTGGGCAGCTTACAAGATACATTTTCTAAATTCTGCCCTTGTTTCTCTTTCTAGCTTCTCGGACAACAAAGGAATCGGGTTGCGAATCCAAGGACGAGGAGGATGACAATGACAGTGAGGCTTCATCCTCCTCCCAGAATCTGCAGAATGGAGACTCGAGATCCAGAAAACGGAGGACATCAAGACAAGCTGCTAAGAATAAGGGAAATGGTGAGAAATGTCATCGATCATTATTCGTTTTTGATTTCTAGTTGCCACTTGCTTGGAATTGTGATGAAAGTTTCTCTAACAGTTGGATTTCCTTCCCCACTTTTCCTCTGCAGTTACTTTGTCCCATGTGAATGGACACAGTGCAAAACATCACAAGTCTGACAGCAACTCTGAGCAAGAGGAGGCTGCAGAGGAGAGTTCTGGAGAAGCTGAAGTTTCTGTGTCTCAGAAACGGTCTAGAAGCACAGCAACCACTCAAGCCAGGAAGAAGAGGATTACAAGTGAGGAGGAGGAGGAGGAGGAGGAGGAGGAGGACGAGGAGGAAGAAGAAGAAGAAGAAGAAGAAGAGGAGGAGGAGGGCACTGATCGCAGGACCACACGACACAAAGTTCCCGTCAGCTCAGATGAAGAAGAGAAAGTCAACAGATCTCAGAAACACTCGCACCAAAACGGAAGAAATGTGGAGGAAGCGATCCACAAGGACTCTAAGAAAAAGTGTAAAGTTTCACCGTCAAAAAGCCAAGATAAACAAAAAGCTGCCTCAACTAATAAACTGGATGGTGCTGAATCAGAGGAACTCAGTGATTCTCCAAAGAGATCCAGCCCTCGCAAAAAAAAGCTGAAAAAAGATGAGGAACTCAAAGCAGAAAGCAATCACTCCAGTGAGGAGTCGGAGGATGAAACCAAGTCAAAGAGGCCAACGAGAAACAAGACCAAATCTAAACGGCCTCGTGGCGACACTGCCGCCTCGGAGAGTTCTGAGCAGGAATACAGACCCAAGAGGAAGTCGAGGAGGAAATGCTCCACCGGCTCATCAGACGAAGAGTCGAATAATTCAGACAATGCATCAAATAGACGTCGGAATCTCCGAGCCCTACCAAAAAAGAAATACATCAGTGACAACTCTCCCTCTGAGGAAGACTCTGCTTCTGCAAGCCAGCGTAAACAGGGAAACGGTAACAAAACAGCCACAGCGTCTAGAGAGGGCAGGTATAATACGAGAGAGTCGAACAGAACCTCACCTAATGAAGCCAGGAATCAGCCGTCTTCCACCAGAAAACGTATTTACACCTCAGACTCTGAAGATGGGGAGGAGGAAGGAAAGAAGGAGCCAGTGTCCAAGAACAATAAAAACAGCAAGTCCGGCTCCTCAAAGCGTCCCAAAAGGGAATCAAAACAAAAGGAGGGTAACAGCAACGAGGAAGACGCCTCTTCCCAGTCCGGTTCCAGCGAGGAGGCCGAGCAGGAAGATGTCGGTCGTTCAAGGAGCGGGAAGAATGCGAGGCGGCCGAAACACAAACGAAAGGAGAGCTACAGCAGCAGCAATCGCAGCTCCGACTCGGAGAGCGCGCATTCGTCTTCAGCCTCTGAAAACTCATGTGCCAGCTCAGGGTCCCGCAGCAGTCCAAAGAGGAGGAGTCACGGACGGCCCGGGGTCGGGGAAATGACTGCCGGCCGCCAGCTGAGGCGGCGCCGCCAACGGTCCGCTTCAGAGGAGAACAGCGACGAGTTGTACAGCAAAGCGCAGCAAAAGACTCGCGTGAACACTCGCAACCGGGGCAAGCGGACAGTCAGTTATCACGACAGCGAGTAGAAGGAAGCAGCAGCTGGAGGAGAGAGGGAGACGGACATTAACTGGAGACCTTTAAAGACACTCGATGGCCACGTTATGGTAGTAGCACTGGAGTCCTCGAGAGAAAATGCTGTGAATCTGTTTCATTCAGGGATATTTATATTTTCTATGAAAAACATGTTTATAGATGTAATACAAATTCAAGCATTTTTGAAAAAGCTGGTTTTCACAAGGATACAGAGCAACACCACCGCCCATACTGCTTGTTGTGATTTTGGCCAGCAGAGTAAACCATTCTGGGGAATCGTGTCAGCTTGGGTGCTAATCTAATATACCTCTGTTAAAAGGCTTGCACTAAGATACACTGTAATGAGGTATTTCATACACTAGTTTTGCATTAGAAACTCAGGGGTCAAATAAGTTTACTGTAGTCTCAGACATGCAGTTGTTTTTTGAGCTAAAGTACGGACAAGAAACGATTCCAGGTTGGCAGATGTCCGAGCACACACTCACTGGACGAGTTCATGTTCACACTTTGACTACAGCACTCCTTTGTAAATCCACACACTTAATGCTTGACATGAGCCAAATGAACGAATATTTATTTTCTCCCCCCCCCCCCCCCAAATACCATTTTTCATATTTTTTTTTATTGATTAGTTTTGTTGTTTTCAAGTAAATAGATGTAAATAGTTGATTGAGATTGTCTGAAAGGTTTGTTGATCAGTCGGTATCAAAACGTTTATTTAAATTTGAGCTTTTTTATTTTTCTCTTTTTTTACATTTACCTACATTGTCTTGCCATATGTCACAAATTGGTACCTTTTTGCCAAGTACATGGAAACAAAAGTACTTACTGCAAAAATGCTGTGATTTCTCATATTGGGAAGACCTTTTTATTGTTCTGCGTTGTCTACTTTCAGTATTAAATTGATTTTCAGAGATGACTTAAGACATTTTGCCAGTCACATGGTTTGGTTTTGTTTATGGGGAGGTTTATAAATACAGTCGCTTTGACATTTTGCTTAATGTTTTTCATACTACACCTTTAATAAATCGCTCTCACAGGAAAACTGTTAATGCAATGTGGTTGTGGAGTGCAATGAATGAGTTATTCCTCATATTAATAAAGACATCATTTCAAGGTGTATTCTGTGTTTCACTTAATCTTATCTATTGACATCATGAATATTCAGTAATTAGATGGCACCCATCTCGCTCAGTTTATTCATTGCAGGTATAAATTTAACACAGTAAGAAATACAATAACAGGTATTTGTGAAATCCTGGCTTGTAGAGATCTAATTCAATTTCGGCACATAAACCAAGTTTAGGACGAAAGTATTGTATTTCTGTCTCCAAGGAGTTTATATCAAGAATTAAAGGAATAGTTCAATATTTTAAGAAATGTTTATAGGGAGTATAGTTCCCAATAGATTATAATCATTCATTTAAATGGTATTCACTACTCTATTTTCGAGTCTCCATTTTTAAGACCTAACTTGATTTAGATCGTAATAAATTTAATTGAACAGAGACAATCGTGTTGTGTAGTTTTGCCGCTCTGTCTCTGAATGCTTCACGGCAGACCCCCATTAAAATGTTTCGAGGCAATCCCAGAAGACAAAACTATTGATTTCTTGATAAATAATTGATCAGCTTCTAGATGAAATAAAACCCCGATTAGCGTTTAATTTGCTTTCTTTATTATATTAATAGTGTTATTTGTACTTTTGTCATCCGAATATGTTGTATAGTTAAATGTAATTTTCATACGACATATAACTATTCAGGTAAAGGTGAGATTTAATGTATTTGGTGTTTTTGATGCACATTAACCTGCTTTTATTGTGTAGGGGCTTCAAAAACAAGTAACCACCGTCGCTTCTATGTGACGTCATCACGTAATGGTTTTCAGTAGCCAGTCGCACTTTCGACACATCAGTTGTACGGTTTTTTATTATTATTACTCATTAAAAATTAGGAAAATGCAATACTTTAACAAAAATAATATGCAGCGTGTTACAATATTATATTTGTTATGAAGATTACTTTTTTTAAATATGTATTTTTACAATTTTTATTTTTTTTCACGAAAGTACCACCTGCTACAGTCGCTTAGCTTGGCTTAGATGGTCATTGAGCTAACATGTGAGTGTCTGTTGGCTTGACAGGTAAAGATTAAAGATAAAGTTTGAATACATTAGTTGTACATTTCCGGCTTTTGAAAACAGGCTCACATTGACGCTAAAGTTTAGCATGTCCTCTGTCAGCCACTGTCAGTAGACATCACCAGGAAGGAGCAGATATAGTACAACATGTCTGCGTGTAAAAGGTTACTTTACGTTGTGAAGCACCGGAGCTTGTGGACGCATGTTCGGAGAAATGTCACAACGTGGTCTCCTGTTGGAGCTGCTTTCAACGCCAAACATCAAAAACGACCGAACTTGTTCGAGAAAAACGTGGTTTGTATTTGTCTTTAAATATGTCTGCTAAGTTTACAACACCTTTACATCAGTGCGTGCAGCTTTACTGAAATAATGTAAATAGAGAGTGCATCAGTCATGACATTCCCAGTGTGTGTGTGTGTGTGTGTGTGTGTGTGTGTGTGGGGGTGGGGGTGTGTGTGTGGGGGTGTGTGTGTGTGTGTGTGTTTGACCTCCTGGTTGCAGGGTTTGTTTGGGGTGCCAGAGCTGAGCTGTCCTGCAGGCTTCCAGGCTGTCACAGACCGAGCTCTGAAGAACACGGAGCGTCTGGTGGAGAACGCCTGTTCTTGTCCTCCAGGCGTTGAGACGGTGGAGTCTTTTGACCAACTCTCAGATGGTTTGTGTAAAGTGGCTGATCTGGTGAGTTTAAACACCCCCCCCCCCCCCCCCCCAAAAAAAAAGCACACTTCTGAGACTGTGCTGCTGCTACCTACAACTCATGTATTCTGCATCATCTGCTTAATTGTGTTATCTGAAGAGTTGTAAGCCTGTCATTGTTCTTGCTATTACAGGCAGACTTTGTGAAAGTGGCACATCCAGATCCAGCGTTTCGCGAGGCTGCAGAGAAGGCCTGCATAGAGATCGGCACGGTTGTGGAGAAGTAAGTGGCACCTTAACAAAGATCTGCACACTACAAATATGCACCCCAGCACATCTAGCTTATGATCTATGATCAACTTGTACAACAGTAAGAAAACGCCGGTCGTTAAAAGACATTAAACAGCTTTAGTACTCGATAGATGTTCATGTTCGCTGGTTGTGTGTTTCAGGCTGAACACCAACGTTGAGCTTTGCAAGAGCCTAAAAATATTGCTGGACAGCCCGGATATTGTGGCTAAACTGGACGCTGATACGAGGTAATTTTTACTGTCATTTTATTTAGTATCTGGATAAATGATTTGTTGTTTATCTCTTCCCATAAATACATCAATGTCTAGTAGTGTATGATGGTAAGTGATTGATTTATTTCTGCCTTTTCTAGACGAGTGGCAGAGCTGTTCCTGTTCGACTTTGAAATCAGTGGAATTCATCTGGATGACAAACTGGTGAGGTGGTCATAATATAGACAAGTAATCAATAATGTGTAAAGACAACATGTTTCTCCTTTATGCAGTGGGATTTTACTGAACTTGGTGCTTGTTTTTTTCCTCTGCAGAGGAAAGAGGCCGTCGCTCTCCACGTGAAGCTGTTGGATCTAAACAACGAGTTTCTGGTCGGCTCTCACCTGCCGAACAGAATTGCGAGGTCTGCGATTCCCGAGCATCTACACATGCACTTTGCAGAAGAAGGAAGCTTCATCCAAATTGGGGGATTACACGCAGACTCCCCCGATGACTTGGTGTGTGCTTTATTTGCTCCGGGTCACCACAAAACCTTTCTCGCTTCTGCTCAGCAGGTGGCACTGTTGCCGTATATTAGATTAAGGGACTTTTTTTAAATTATAGTGGTCAATACTTTCCTGATTAATGATAAAATGAAAGCGTTCGAAACACAAAAAGGAAAGTTTGAAAGCATTTTTTAATGAAATATTGGCTCCTCCCTCCTGGAGGTGCCTATAAAATTGTCCAAATAATCTCTCTCTTACAGTTACGAACTTTAATTTTAAAGATTTACGTTATACAGTTACAAGAAAACTCTTTATTTATATTAACCGTTTTTCTCTAATCTTAATGTCATCATAGTTGTGCCGATGTCTCTCATGAAGGAGGTTAAAAGCTCCGTCCAGACAAAAATTAAAGTAGAGAGATATGATACATTATCGTCTACACATGACCATCCAAAGATCTCTCATCTGTAACTCTGGATTAGCAGATTGCATTCGTTTGTTGATATCTCGCTTAATATTATGTTGTGTCATGAATTTTGCTCTTCATTCTCTCTTCCACCTGCAGGTGCGAGAAATAGCGTACATGATTTACCTTCATCCAAACGCAGATTTGATGGAGTGTCTGGAAGAGCTGCTGAAATGCAGATACAAACTGGCCAAACTGGTCGGCTACGAGTCCTACGGACACAGAGCCCTGAAGGGAACGATGGCCAAGACACCAGGTGGATATACGGCGCGTTGCTTCAGCATCATTATAGATTCTAAGTTGCTCTTATAGTGCGTTAGGCAACTACTTTTTAGATATTTGAACATGCTGCAACTTCATCTTTCTCTCTGTTTGTAGAGGCGGTGATGAGCTTTCTTCATTTGTTGACGGAGAAGCTGTCAGACAGGTACCGTCTACTCCTAAAAGTGTTTGTCAAAGATGTAAAGCTCAGTATTCTGTGACATGGTTTTTATGATGACCGGATATTTTTTTATATATTGTCTTGTAAGACGATGTGACGGCCCTCCCACTGTCTTGGAGGCTGTTATGGCCAACCTCATCAGACATGTGTGAGGGTTGACAGCTGGGCCTTCCAGGTTGTGAAAGCTGTACCGTGTGCTCCGTCTGTCTCTCGTCTTTCTTACAACTCTCATCCATAAAACGACTAATCAACTAAAGAAATCTTAGTTGACTTCGACCAAATATGACTGATAGGATGACTAATCTCCACACATCCGTGCACTGCTTCTTTCATTGCTGGTCTGCTCACTCTGCTTGGTTGGAGTTGGGCTCTGTTGTGGCTGTCTGCATCTTCACTGCACATGTTCCAGTAGTACATGTGTTTGTGTCTTTTGTGGGTTTGTAACCTTTTAAAAACATTAGTTAAGGACCGTAAAATACATCAGCCAGGTCTTGTACGTTGACTTGCTTTGAGCCTGGAGTGTCTGACGATGCTGAGTTTGTGGTGGAATTTGGTTTGACGGGCGAGGAACCAGAATGTTCGGTGTGGAAGTTGTTACAGTTAATGTTGTATTTGCAGCTTTGGTACTAGGTGCTACAGCTCACGCTTTGTTTTGTTCCTGTGAGCCAGTTTTAGTACCTCCTTTCATTGCCGCTCACGCCCTTTGTTTAATAGTTTGTTTTTAAGAAAGTCTCTTGTCTTCCCTCTGTGTCACATTCCCTGAGCCGGCATCCGTAATCTTCAACAGCCCCAGAAATATGCAAGTCAGGTGCACCTGAGACTGTAAATTACCCACAGGTTCGAATGTGAGCACGTTGGCCCGGCAGCCGGTCCAGGGTGTTCCCCTGCCTTCAGCCAAATGCATGCTGGGATAGGTTTCTATTCCCCCCCCACCCTTTGACCCTGGAGACATACATAGGTACAGACTGGAATGACTGCCTCAAGGCAATGAGCTCATAACCGTTTCTCTTTTTCATCTCACAGAACAGCCGCAGACTTTACGATGATGAGGAACATGAAGAAAAAACTCAACCCTCGAAATTCTGTGAGTGATTTTTCTTTTTCTTTTGTTTCGCAACATATTCCGACACATTGAGCTTAATCAGTATTATTTGCCCAATGGTTTAAAGCATTTTGTTTCTATATTAGATTCACTATAATTCAGTGTAGTCTATCGCATGTAAATAAAATACTGCTGGTGTTGTCTCATAGGAGCTCATGCCTTGGGACCATCCGTACCTCAGTGGTGTGTTGCGTGCTGAAAGGTGAGTATCTGATGCCTGCTGTCATTTGATAAAGTCGCCTTGATCAGTATCTTTGAGATGTTTGTAATTCCATATTACTCCGAGGTGTGAGCTGTTGTTGGCTCATCCTCGGGTGTCGGGCGTTATAAAAGGTGTTAGGAGAGAAGTATGGCAGTTGTCCAAGTGTTCTCTCAGACTCCTTTCTAATCCAGGACAATAATATCTGGTATAATCTCCCTCTTCAGCCTGTTGTCACTTTTCAGTGTTTGTGGCTGTGGCATTTTGGGGAATTCATGTTGAGGCCCTGAACCCCAGTGTTTGTTTACATTAGACACACGGCTACATTATGGTGGTCAAACTGTTGCTCCTACACATTTTGTCTCTTCTATTTCTCTGACTGTCATGTGTTGTTATGATGTTATTCTGATTTTTTTTATTTGATGACTAATGCACCAAATATGATTATTGCGAGTAATTAGCAAATAGAAATAGCATGTATTCATGTGGCCTTAAAACATGTTTGATGTACTAGTTGATTTGAGGGAGTTTATAATGTTGAACGTCTCCTGTGACCGACGATGGTTCTGAAACGGTACAATTAATCGCTTAGTTATTTATTAAAGCCAAACATTCACGGTTTCCCGCTCCATAACTGTGTAAATGGAAGAAGGTGTTTTGGTGTTGGACTGTTCTCTGGACACGAGGAAACAATGGAACACATCTGGATCAGTCGAACAGAAGTCAACAGAGGTCCCGGGGACGTTCATGGTCTTAGCGCCCTGTTACTCAAACTCCTTTCTCATTTCAAACTCATTTGAACAGCGATCATCTGCCATTGAGTGTCTCCAACTTGAGCAGACATCTCTGTCCTTAATGAACTGCACATTTCCCTCCCAGCAGTCTCCAGAGACCAATAACACGACAGGCCAAACGTTCCAGAGACGTTTTAGATAAATCTTTATTGCAGACGTTATGGATCCCTCATGTGTCCTTTTGGATTTAAGCTGCCAACAAATCGCCTGCGTATCTGTGTGCTGGTGACTGTTCCCGGGGCTTCTGAGGAGGAGTGGATCTGCTCACTGGTCCTCCTCTCCGTCGTGCCGCCCCTTCATTTCTAATCTTCTCCTGTTTGGTGGTTTTTGGGCTCCGCTAGTTAGCAGAACATTCCTAAAGAAAGGATTGCATTAAAGAGCCGTTCCCCCTCTGAGCTGCTTCTGTTTTCTGCCTCGTACATTTTTAACACGCGTTGATCCAAAAGCTGTTGATCTCTCCCACAAAAAAACACTCGTCAGTCTCTCTCTCGTGACTTTTTCTCCCAATCACTCACTCAATCATTTTCTCTTTATCTCTGCTTGTCCATCAGTGTTCAGACCGCATTGAAACGAGGTCCAGATTGTGTTTGTGCGGTAAACAGAGCCGCGCTCGGCAGCCGCAGTCTGTCAGTCATCACTGATAACACACTACATGTGGTGTTGAAGCTAAACGAGCGTTTACAGCAGCATGAACGCATCCATTTTAAACATGGGGGGCCCCTCTCCTCGCGATGGTCTCTTTGTCCTACCAGTTATCACAAGTGTGGAATGGTCAGGAGAGTTTTAGCCAGACTTGCTCAGCCTGCAAGGAGACATCTACAGAAATGATGCTCATTGTCATTCTTGTATCTGTTTAAATAGTCTGACACTTTCATACACGGAGTAAACTTGAGTCATAAGTCTTTTTATTTTCAAATCCGTTTTGTTGTGGTTTGTTTTGCTCATGGCAGGTACAACATAGAGCCCAGTCTGTACACTCCATATTTGTCTCTGGGCGCCTGCATGGAGGGTTTGAACAACCTCTTCTCCCAGCTGTACGGCGTGTCCCTGATGTCCGAACACGCCAGTGCTGGAGAGGTCTGGAGCGAGGACGTCCGCAAACTGGTAAATCTGACTAATGCAGCCACATGTCTGGGATTGTGTTGGATCAATGCCTCTTTCTAAAATGTTGGTGTTTGAAGTCTGTTCTATGTCTCGTGTTAAAACAAAGACGGCTTTCTACCATGTGGTAGCAAAGGTGTTTATTTCAAAGATCAAAGTTTTTCAATACTATGTGTTTTAATATGTCTTTATGTGTGTGTGTGTGTGTGTGTGTGTTCCCAGGCTGTGGTACATGAGACGGAGGGATTAATGGGATATATCTACTGTGACTTTTTCCACCGGCAGGATAAACCTCATCAGGTGTGCATACACACATCTACAATGTCTTCACAGGTTGTTGATGGTTTCTCCTCAGGAGATAGGCCTCTCCATAGTTTTTAATTCAGCTTTCAGATCAAATATTATTTATCTGCATAACAGAATAAAAGCCCCTTTCACTGACGTAAGGCAACGTGGAACCTTGAAACTGACAAAATGAACAATGAAGACATTGTTGTAATCTGTGACATGCTCTTGTGTTATTTTCTTAATTTAATCAGTGATAAAATATGCAACTGTGTGATTGTTTTTTTTTGTTTTTTTGTTTTTTTTTAATCAATCGTCCCTTCTTCCTCCTCCTCTCAGGACTGTCACTTCACCATCCGCGGCGGCCGCCGGTGCACGGAAACGGGTCAGTACCAGCTCCCAGTCGTGGTGCTGATGTTGAGTCTGCCCCACCCGACCAAGAGAGCCCCCACCCTGCTCACTCCCGGCATGATGGAGAACCTCTTCCATGAGATGGGACACGCCATGCACTCCATGCTGGGACGCACCCGCTACCAGCATGTGACGGGTGAGCTGCGAGCACAGATCGGAGACTGAAACCATGTGCAACTTACAAAACTTATTTTTGAAATATTACATCTCCGTAGAAATGATAAATGACCAAGTAAGACAAAGATATATGAGCATTGTACACGTGTGTCATTCAAACTGTTTACCTGGCAGAAGATTTGACATTTTATGAGCTGGGTATCTGAAAATGATGTCAAAAGCAGGAATTGTGTTGTAACATATGGAGCGTCTAAGTTATTCATAACAGAGTGGCAAATTAAAAATGGAGTGTAAATGTGATAGACGAGCCCAGAGCTTTAGATCATGCTTGGCAGGTAAAGCTGTCATTCAATACAGTTTCTCTTGTCAGTTAAAGCTGATGGATGTCTTCTTCGGTAATAGAAGATCCCAAAACTATTTATTTTACACTAATAACAGTATCCATGAACTCAACTTCAGGCTGTTTTCTTGATGGACACCATATTTACAGCTGTTTAGACATGCTACTTTAATTACTATTGTGTCTGAAAGCTCACGGCAGTCACATCACCTGTAACTTTAATCATATCTTTTTTTTTTCCTCTAAATCTCTCTTTCTATCAGATGTTGTTCTTGATATTCCGTTAAAACGACACACAGTACCGAGCACAGTCGGGTCGATTCTGGAGTGATTTGGTCAGACCTCCTTGTGTTTTAGTTTTTGTGTTCTTGTCTCTGAGCTCTGACGTCCTCTCCTCCAGGAACCAGATGTGCGACTGACTTCGCTGAAGTCCCGTCCATCCTCATGGAGTACTTTGCCACCGACTACAGAGTCATCAGCCAGTTTGCACGCCATTATGAAACTGGACAGGTACACCGAAACCCTCAGATTCACCATCACCTTGAACCACTGAAATATTACTCAATAGTTGTAGAGAGATATTCAATACATCAGGATTATACTAATATTAACACCTTCATTTTAGCTGTGACATTATTTATAAAGATTGAGTGACATCTGCAGTTATCGTGACTAAAAGGATGCACTCGGATGAGATGAAATGATGTCTTTCTGTCTGGTTTCTTCCGTCTGTGTCATTGTCTACTCAGCGTCTCCCTCAGAGTTTGGTGGCTCGCCTGTGTGAGTCAAAGAAGGTGTGCGGAGCCGCAGACACCCAGCTGCAGGTATGATGACCAACCACACACACACACACACACACACACACACGCATCACTTCCAATTATATCTAAAAGTATGTTTCACTTTCACAAGAACACACAACTGCAGAAAGACTGCTCGCTGTGTGATCAACAATCCATCAAGTACAAAAGCCTCCGGTCCGTTTTTTAATGTGTCTCATCATAAACATTTAACAGCATCTTGTGGTTGAAAGGCCTGCACAGGCTTTGTATCATTAAACCGACACAGAGCTTAATTATTAAACCATATTACCTTAGTTTTCCTTGTTGAAGACTGCTGGTTTGTCTTTTAGCTGTTTTAACGAACAGGGATTCCACTTAAACTACTTTAATATTGTTATTAATGGTTGATGAAAACTGTATTCATTTTCTTAGCAGAAAATAAATAGAGTTCTTTCTGTTTTTTTCTTGTGCAGATTTTCTATGCGGTGTTGGACCAGATCTACCACGGCCAGCCTCAGAACCAGACCACCACAGAGATCCTGGAGGAGATGCAGCAGAAATTCTACGGCTTGCCTTACGCGCCCAATACGGTACATCTCCAGCTGAGTGGCTTGTCTCTAATACCGTGTCTTTAGATGGATTACAGTCTTTGGGGTTTGATAATTTGGGGAAAGTTCTGTTCTTTGGTTCCCTAAAGACAAACTTGGACAAGGACTCCTTTCAGCTTTCTACTCTTTCTCCTTCTCTTTCCTTTCTCCCTGGTTTTATATCTCTTACCAAGGCACAGCAGCGTTTAACGGATTAAAGCCTCTTTTTTTTTTTTTGAAGCCCTGCTAAAATCACAAAGCGGAGGTAAACTCTGAATGAGCTCTCCCTGGGGGAAATATTTGAAACTCTTCCTCCCGGTCCTTTAATGAAAAAAGCTCTCTATTTCCCCCACTTTTGCAGCTGTGGGCGAGTGGGTGAGGCAAAGGAGGGAGAAGTCATAAAGCATTTACTCCGGGCTGTAATTATGTGGGGTTCCATCAGGAATAGAGATTACAGAACTTCTGTATATTCTCCAGGGCAGCGTCCTCCCACTCTTCTTCTCGTGTCCTGCTCCCTCTCTCCAGAGGTTGTGCTTTATGTCATATAGTCTCTTCAACGTTTCAAACCCCACACTGAAAGATCTAACAGACACCTCGCCCCGTGTGCACAGCCAACCACAGCACGATCCTTTTTCCTCATTTGAACTCGGCAGAAACTGAAGGATGATTGCGGCGCTTTAAGTTTCATGTATTGGATCATCGTTGGATCAGAGCGAGTGAAAACAGATTTGTTTAGATCCTTCAATGACAGACTCTACTTAAGCTTGTTTCTTTTAAAAAATGTGCCCTCTGTTTCTTTCTCTCTCTCTCTCTCCTCGTGGAAACGCGGCTCAGGCAAAGTTTCCACAGCAAAGTGAACTTTTGAGTGGCTAATAGGTTACGGAGAGCGCGGATTGTAAACATTAGGGTGATGCTGACATGTGTATAGTTTATAGAGCAGGGCTATCATTTCCCACTGTGTGCAGAGAGAGAAAGAGGATCAGCTGTAAGTAACACACACCACATGCTCACCCTTGAGCCGAAGATAATATTTGGAAATAAATGGCAGAAAGCAAGATGTTCTGCTCGCTGTGTTGACATTTCTTTAATCTGCTATTCTTGGCTTGAATGCTTCATGATCTCCCCCCCCTTTTTTTGTTTTTTAATGAGCAGTGTTTTTAATGCACACTCAAGCACATTTAATCCACACTTTCCTGTGGAAATGTGAACGCACCACGAGTTGAGTTTAGACGGAACAAAACGTGTCTTTTATCTCACTTACAAGAGGAACGGAGTTAAAAGCCTGCGCTGACTTTGTCTCCTCCTTGAACGTCGGGATCAAAAGGACATCTCGCTGACATGTCGTCCACTTGCACTCGCACACTAACGTTGACATTAATCATTTGATGTGAGGCAATGGGGCGGTTTGGAAACGGAGAGGAAGCCTGAAGATCATTTATGTGGCACGTTTGAAGTGTTTACAGCGTAAAACCAAACAGCTCTTCAATAGATTTGTATTTGTTTCCAGTATATGAGGACATACAGGGAAGCCAAAGAGTCTCCAAATGAAAGGCTGGATTTAAGACTTGAGCAACAAAAAGTCCAAATATGAATATTTATTGATGTTGCTTTCACGAATCAGAATAATTGATGCACAATTTTGTTTTGTCAGTTGTGTGAATTAGCTTCAAGCCGCTATAACAGACTTCTAATCCACATGACTGAAGGCACCGCTGCGTTCAGCTGACACAGCAAACTTTAGCGTTAGCTTGCCCGCGGTCTTTCTGAGCCAGAGCGGCCCCTCAGGAGAGCGTTCTCCTCTTATTAGAAGCCACCGCAGCCCAGAGCAGCTCGTCCAGTCAACACTTTCAAGCTTAATCGTTTCTAACGCTGCTGGATCGCCCAGCTGTTTTTAACGTTTATTACACTTTGAGATCCAGTAACATCAGTTTGAAGGTATTTTTGTAGCATGAACGTTAAATACAGGATTTTAAGTTTGTTGTTTTCTGGCTTTTTCGTGATATTATTTTAATTCAGTCCTTGTTTCACTCCAATGACTTTAAACTGCTTTATAAACACAAGGTTAATACATTTTTTATCAGAATAATAAAGTCGGTATAATTCAAAACTGATGAAACAGACTTTTTAATGAATTATTTATGTGTTAATATTATAAATACACAACGCCTTTATATAAAGTATGAACTCGGGTCTCCCTTGGAAATTAGATCTCAATGAGACCGCTCTAGTTATTATGTTTATATTAACAAAGGATCGCGTGTAAGTTGAAAAGATTAGCTCATACTGATGAGCCCACAGAGAACCCGACTGCTGGTCCCCTCAGATATTTAGCTTCTTTCAGCTCAGTGTTTTGGTATTGCACCACAACGTTTTTGTGCCAGGAGCTCAACGCCGTTTGGTTCTCTTTGTATTCCTTTAAAGACAAATTCAATAAACGTGTCTCTCCTCACACGACCTCTCTTCCAAACCAACTGGACCAGAGTGTGGGCCGAAACTGGAGCATGCGCAGTCGGCACGGTCACAGACGTCGTGCTGCACATTGCCGTTACAGAAATTATGAAAAGGCCTCAAGGCATTCTCATTAAACATCCTTTGCATTAGACAATTATTTCCCTTGAGTATAAATCATAAAGCTGTTTAAAGTGGCGGGAGGCGTCTGCAGTCTGTTATGATTCTGTTAACTGTGTCTTCTCTAAATGGCTGAATGTTTGAGTGTTTGCCAGCCGAATTCCCCCAGAGTCCCCGTTTGCAGAGATCCCCCCCCCCCCCCCCCCCCCCGCAGAAGAGAGGAGAAGGGGGCTTTCTACCATTTAGGAATTTCCATGATTTGGCCTTTTTAAAGAAGGAGCTGTCAGGTTGTGATTTAATGTTTTGTTGCCGAGGTTTATTGGAGGAAAAGGTGTATTTATGCCAACAGCATAATGGCATCAATAAAGATGAAACAAGCGTTTGATGTAATTGTCAGCAGACATTTAATAGTTGTATGATTCAATTTAGTTGTAGTGCCAAAACTAAGTACGGTTTTTTTGTTTCGTTTTTCAATTTCACTGTACGGAGATGTTTTTCTGCCCAGTTGAAGTGTCATCTGTAGTTAATATTTAGTTTTCCTGGGATAGTTCGCTGCGGTCATGGAACAGCTTCAACCGTTTTCTTTTTTTACGAGCAGAAACATTTTAAGCCTTTTACGGCTGTGATGTCGTCCTCTTCCACACTGCTCCCTCACCACACTCTGCTGTCACATCCACTCTGGTAGAAGTAGAACCTGCTGACGTGCAGATTCTTTTTGAGATGCCCTGTCTGAAGGTGATAATGTTGTGGCTACATTTTTTTATTTATTTTTTTTTTTTTTTCCTCCACAGGCGTGGCAGCTGAGATTCAGCCACCTGATTGGCTACGGGGCCAAGTACTACTCCTACCTCATGTCCCGCGCCGTGGCCTCAATGGTGTGGAAACAGTGCTTCGTTCAGGACCCTTTAAACAGGTGAGACAGCTGCTCATGGTTAAAACATTCAATAACAGAATATCAAATTAAGCATGCAGAAATGGGAGGAAAAATGTTCAACTTCCCTCGAACAAGAATGTGAATATCCTCGACTTCTTCACTCTTTTACTCTTTTGAGTCACTCGTTACCTTGTGTTCCTGGTGGGAGAGGCACACGGATGGTGTAAAAGCGCTGAGACAAATGCCTTCCGACAGGCCGTCTTCCCCTGTTTACCATTAAAGTCTCCGTCGTCTGACATTGAACATGACGTTAATATGAAACTCACGCCGACTTGGCAGGTTTGTGATATAATTCACAGAAGTGTTTGCCTTTGGACAAAGCACAAACGCTTTGTTTGAAAAACGAACCCTCTACCGTGGAGCCCCACAGCGTTCCCCCCCCTCCGCCTCTCGTTTCTTTTCCTTTGCTGTCTTCCCTTTCCCTCTGAGATTGCTTTAGTTCCACCTGTAGTTGTCAGATCTCTTGTTTCCTGTCACCGGTGTGTTGTGAACAGGCAGCTTAGGAGACTCGGCCCCTGGGCTCCGAGTGGCAGTGGTGGAGCTTGTTGGCGGCATAATTCAGGTGTCTGTAACCTCATCTCTTTCTCTCTTCTGTGTTTGTCTTTCTCTTTGTCAGGGACATGGGTGAGCGTTACCGTCGGCAGATGCTGGCCCATGGAGGAGCCAAGGAGCCCATGCTGATGGTGGAAGGTAACTTCACCATGTCCAATACTTTTTTCCCCAAGATGTTTGAAGAATCTTTTTAGATTTACCCATAAAATTCAACAAAGCTCATTATTTTAGGACCAGTTTATCTGAACATGTTTGGGTTACATCAGGCTTCTAGGCCTCAGTTCTGCTAATATTTTTGGGCTCCCGGCTCACCTTTTGACCCCATCGCCTTAAGATAACAGTCGCCCCACCTTGTGCAAGACACCTTCTCTTCTCCAGGCAGATTGAGCTCATTTGTACCATCTTTAAAATGTTTTAAGATTCCCCAGAGTTCATCTCCAGGTTTCCTTCGGTTTAGGAATTAAAGTGTCAATCCATTGGCTAAAATTACTGTCGCATTATGCTGTGGGATTTATTTCGACAGCCTGGAGGGTCAACTGCTCTAAAATGTGTTTTTTTTCCAGCAGTCTGTGAGGCAGAAAATCATCCTTGAAAGACGACATACTGATTACGAGTTAGAATGTGCGTCAAAGTAAAAAGTTAGATAATAAAAGTAACCTTCTTTTATTTACCAGTTATTTTTCAAATGTGTAAAAGGGTTATAAAATATTATAGAGGAAGAAGAAATAAATAAATTACATGACAAATAGATGAATAAAAAACGACACATGAAAACAGTAAAGATTGCTATATATTCGAGTACCATGAGACAACTGTGAACCCAATTTCTCCCACAAAGAATTATCAATCTACAGCATAAACATGAAAATATGTATTTATATATCAAGTAAGATTGACAAGTGTACTTGGTGTCCATTACAGTCCGTAAGCCTCACCAGTAACGACGGTATTGAACATCACCTGAGGGGAATCGTAGCTTGAGTTCATTAGTCGGGTCGGGTGTTGCTGCTGTTGTGGTTTGGCTCGCTCTGTGCTTGAGCTCCCACAATGGCACCTATTTACCGATCTGACACACCTCCCAATGTTTCTCATCTTTGTTTACAACAGCAACCCAGAGACGCAGCCAGTCCTGCTGCGGTATAAATTGTCGTGTCAGCTCCCTCTGGCAACCATACGCTATTCATGCTAGTCCAAAAGAAATCATAGCTCAAAGACATTATGCTGCTTTTCTTTTTTAAAACAGACAAAATCCAGAAGGCAGGAAATATAGACATGGATGATTATGGGTTTGAACCATAAAAAACCACTGACTCTGCAGGGTTAAAACACAGACCGGTACATTCAACTTTGTGTTTAACCAACATTTTTCAGCCATGCCAGCAGCGCGGCTCTAGAGACGGCATTGTCAGTCAGTTGGTCTACCACGTCGGTGACGACTCAAACTGCTCAACTGTTGGACGGAGTACCGTGAATTCTTTTGTTCCTCCCTGAACTTTAATAACTTTGGTGGGAACTTTTCAACCAATAAATCAGTTAATAAACACATAACAGACATTCAGGGCTGGTCCTCTGTCGGGGGTATCCTCCCCTGCCACACATTCTTTATTTTATTTTTAATAAATCTGTTTTCATCACTGAACTAGCTCCATCATCAAGTCAAAAGCTCAGTTTGTCAAATAATTTGTATTGCGATCAAATACCTGCAAAGCTAAAGGCATTCCCATCAGTCTCAGCTGTACGTTGTGTTTTAGCACGAAGTAGCAAATGTTAGCATGCTAACACGCTAAACTACGATAGTGATCATGAACTATATACCTGCTACACATCGGCATGTTATCATTGTGACGTTGTGTGTAGCCAAACATGTTAGCGTGTGTACTTCCTCACAGAGCCGCTAGCATGGCTGTAGACTTGTGTTTGGATATCTTCCGGTGCGTCTGTTTGTAACCGTCAAACTGACTGTTAATCAGGTTATGTCATTCTCAGCAGAAGATGTAGTTTCTTCCAATAGACATGACGGGGCAAAACAAACGACTTCCTCCTGTTTCTCTTCCCTTCCTCCTCCCCTACTTCAGCAGTCACTGTGGCATGTCTGGACAGGACAACAGAGGCGAGGGATTAGTAAGATCAGGTGACATTTGGGAGTGGACTGTAAATCTCTCCCTCAGGGTCACCTCCTCGCTCCTCCTCCAGATTGTCCCTTTGGCAGCTCCGACTAAGGGCTGCGCCCAGCTTCTGAAATTACCGCCACCAACCGATCAAGTCCTTGTTATTAGATCTACTGTCCAAATAACTGTTGTTGAACTGTCAATATTTGCGTTTATGGCTCCCTTTTGAAGTGAGCGCTACTCTAATTATAGGCCGAGGCCCATGTGTGCGGAATAGTTATCCGGGTCATATTGATCTCTCCGGCTGTCATTCCCAGCCATAAGTCATCGTACAAGCCTTCTGCAAAAATGTCTGCTTGGGGGAATAACACCAACGCAAAATGATTTCATTTTGCAACAGAAAATAGATTCAGAGCCTTGAAGTGGTTAGATGCCATTTCTAGTCTCGCATGTTTGGCAAATTTCCATTGTACATATTGTTTTGTCCACTCTGTGCACCTGCGTTTATGATAATCATCTGAAACCCATTTCTTTCTTTTTTTTTTAAATCATAATATCTATTCCATGTCTGGAGAAACACTCAAACGTATTTAAAGAGACTCATTCAGCCGCCTCAGCTGGCTACATATGTCCTCGTGATTTACATTGAGATCATGAAAACCACAGTCAGATTGATAAAAGGACATCGGTGCATGTGCTGAAACATTTAGATCTTCTCCACTCTTCACTGCGGGGTTGAGAGGTTCATAGCAACCATCTTGAATTCCTATTCGGGAACGGAAAACGGGTTTGAATAAGAACAGCCCTTTTTACATCAAACGCAGTATTTAGGCCAGAAGAAGGACGCAGACTCCAGATCCGACCCACTACGCATAATTCTTTCAAACAAAGAGCCCTGTACACATGGTGGTGTGTAACATTTCGCTGCGATCCCCTTTGGCGAGGTGGTGGACGGGGGCACCCGGGGAACCGGAGCAGACCCGGGCGAGGCTGGTCTAGAGGCCAGACTTTATCTGCTTGGCTCCCTCCCCACCGCTGGATGTTTCCCAGGAAAGACCAGTGTTGAAACGTAAACCCAGAGCGGCAGCGCAAGGTACCGAGTGAAATAAGTCCAAGGAAAAAGTGAGAGTAAGAGGGAAGAACAAGGCGAGAGAGAGAAAGGTGAACCTCGGCTCCTGCCACAGAGAGGGCTTTCATGGCCCAGACTGTTCCCAGAGCCCCGACCGCCGAGCTCAGAAAATGGATCTACTCCGGCTCAGTAGCTGAGCTCTTTGTCTGAGGGCAGCGTGGCTGAATAGTTCATACGACCGCTTGCACAGTCGCTAATAAAACCCCCAAGAGCACGGTGGTCCGCACGGTCCCACAGCACTGTTGTGACAATGATGTTTAGTTCGGCCTGAACCAGAGGAGAGAAACTTCACAGCGAAGATGTGAAGCTGCAAAATTCATAATTTACAGCCCTTACATAAAAGCAGACATGATTTGTGATGAAAATGATCCTCCAGGTCTAGAGGGAAGTGTCTCCTCCGTGATTTAGCCTTTTGATGACTCCAGCGCTGTGAAGACAATAGTAATACAAGTTTTCAAGGCGACGTATCATGAAAGACTCGCTTTTTCAGTGCTTGTGTCTTCCAACCCACAAACTGTAAAATAAGACAACCCAGTCAGGTTTCTTTGTTGGCTTCCTGTATCTGTCACATGCAGGCTCATTAGAATATACAGCCCACGGCTTGAGAACTACCTTTGCAGTGATTCATCATATTTAGCCAATCAGAGCAAACGTGGCTTTTTAATGAGGGAGGCGTAAAGAGGCGAGCGCTAAAACTGAGCTTTTCAGACAGAGAGTGGGTTCAGGTTCATTCAGACAGAAAGTTGTTGAAGCTTTTGTGTGATGGAAATCTCACCAAAAGGATGATTTTTAAAATAATTTCACCATGTTGACTTAGTTTAGCATGTTAGTATTCTAACATTTGCAAAAACAAAGTACCGCTACGTATTGGACAGTAAAGTATTGGACAGACCAACATCACTAGTTGCGCTTCTTGCATGGCTATATATTAGCATAAAAACTAAGATACATGCGTTTCTCAGTTGCAATAATCAGATTTAGCATTTTGTCACAGATTAATTTTCTGCACGTTTAAGTGTGGAACATTTTCCCACATTAAAGCGCTGGTGTACTGAGTTTTGTAAGGTTTATCCTCAATACCATTGCAGGGTTTTCTTTTGTGAAGGCACTTAGCCAACAAAGAGCCTCCCTGTGCAGCGTTTGTCATCACCCTTGTCTCGCTTTACTTTCTGGGCCTGTCTTAAGTGCTGTTTGTAGAAAAAGCTTCCTGAACTTCAAAGGAGTAATTACAGAGGCAGTGAGCCAAAGTTTGCCTCCAGGTTTGACAGAAGTAACTGCTTTTCACACCTCGACATGTTTCAAATGGTTACAAGCAGCAGCTGAACGGCTTCTGAGGCAGCCAGGAACACGTTTTGAAAATGTGTGATCGGCAACTCTTAAAGTGACTTAAAGCTCCGCGCGCTAGTCGTTGTACGAGTGTTTTTTTTTCGTACGCATACATGGAATGTGACGCTACAGAGGCTCAAGTTACTGCACTCTGCAGTTTGTTCCCTTTTTTTTTTTTTTTAAATGCACAAATGTGGCGTACTGCTGCTCCCCCTGCGAGTGGGCTTAATTGGCCAATAAAAGCAACCAATTAAATCATGAAAGAAGTGAGCACAGCCAAGCCCAAGAGACCGGGATCAATGGCTCTTATACAACAGCTCAGCCCTCCGATTGGTTAAAGACACTTTCCAACCACGCTGATTAGTGCTCTAATAGCAGAACAGCCGTATTCTGCTATTGGTGCACTAAAAGTGTGAAAGAGCTTCCTACACATACTTCATGAGAGCCAATAAATCAATATATGTGTATTTGTAGAAAAGATGCACGACTCCAGAGGTTGTTGTTTACTTTGACTAACGAGCCTTCAACCCCATGTTCAAGATTTCCCCCCAAAATGGGTTTACTGTTCTGTGAATCTGTTCTTAAAAGAATGTATCTCAGCAGACACTTTACCACCAAAACTGGGCGGTAACTCAGATGTTTGATGATTTCAACCAGCAGTAGCTGCAGGCTGGGCAACATTTCTACTGAGATCTTGTCCCCAGAGCCGTCATTACCGAGGCTCAGAGCCACACAGAGGTCTTCATCTGACTGATAGCCATCGCCCACCACCCTTGAAGTAGATAGATTACTCTGTGTATGTTCTCCTGTGAGAGATTAAGCTCTGTTTACTGGCAAGATATTTAACTTTCAAGTGTAAGTGTAACTGTAGAAAGATATTAGGGCAAGTTGCAGCTTCAGGGTCAGAGGGAGGAAACGGCAACGGATTTAAATATTCACTAAAATGTCCATGTTGAGTCATTTTGTTATTAAAGCAGGTGGCTAAAATGAGTTTCCATTTCTCAGTGGAAAGAATCTCTCTGCTCTGTATTGAGAGAATAGCTATTTCAGACTAGAAGAGGCCGTGAACGTGTGACTTGAACGTTCCCACACCAGCTGAGGAAGATCGGGCAGGAATAGAGAGCGAGTGCTGCACTTCGCTTCCCAACAAGTACTCTTGAGCGAGGTGCTCAACCGCCAACAGCTCCAGTGGGGCTGCTCAGCGGCCAAACTGCAAAGCAGGGATACAGTTGTTAAGAAAGATCCACTGTTTGTTTTTTTGTTTCACACTTTTTTTTTGTCGTGTGTCTTTTAACACCTGCCCAAACTCTGCTGGCCAAGTTGGCCCCGAGATGACTGTAATGGGTAGAAGACCGGGTCCTCAATGGCCGTGTCAGCGCCATTATGAATGGAAATGGAAACTCTTAAATACGAGATGACTCACAAGGCAAAGCCTCTGTCCTAAGACTCTCCTAACAAAGGACACAAAGCAAAGCCTATGTTTGGTTTGGCTCTGCGTTTCCTCGGTGCGTCGCCAAGAGTGAGTTTCAGAGGTCTGCCCACTGTGATGCTGTCAACTCATACAGTATCTGTTCAGAGGTACTGCTGCTGTAAACCAGAATACATTAAACATGGATTCATAATGGCAGGCAGTGATGGTTAGGAAAAGCCTTAAGTTGCATACGGGTGATAAACCCTCTGGTGGTGTTCCCTCTGTGGACTGCACAGCTCCACCATTAACCTCTGTGGTGCCTCCATTTACTTCAGTGCTCACCTGTTTACAGCGTGCTGATGGTGCCCTGTCGGTGTGTTATGTCAGACTCAGCACCACCTCCTTGTGTGTATCTATAAAAGCCGCTTCTCCCATCAGATACTCCTCCACGATGTTGTTATGACTTTGAGGTTATCGGTGCATTCCTCTCAAACTCTCCCAGGGATGTGGGCTGAGAACAGACTCACTCCTCACGGCTCATTGTTGCGCCTCTCTTCATCTCCTGGCGCTGACACCCGCAGCTGTTGGTGATGAGAAGCCGGCGAGGGCGCTATTGTTTACCCGACTTACCTCTTTCATGATCACGCCTCCCTTTGCTTCTCTCTCTCTCGCTCTCTTTATCCTCTCCTTTACTTTAACTTATTACATTTTTTTATGATATATATATTTATATATATATATACTATACCTTGACTTCTAATTACATTTTTATGGTATGCTGTGTAAAGATTTTCATGGTATACTATACCATCATATTCATATATATTCATATATAT